TTTCTGCACAGTCACATCATGCCTAGACGTAAAAATGCACTGAAAACGATTTCACCTAAAGGCATTAAGTTTCACGAAGACGATAGTCCTGGTTATGTTTCCTCGTTAAAATTCTAATAAACATGAGAGTGCTTCGATATATTAGTTTAAGAATATTTTAGTTTAAATATTCCGTTGATATGAATCCACCAGAAAATTTGAAAAAGAACTAAAACACGAAGCACTCAAGATGATAGGAAAACAATAAGAGTGCCTTACCTTCAGGTTTAGCAGAGGCCAAAGCGACCGCAGTGCAGATGGCATGGAGCATTAGGATTGGAGTCATTTTTAGAATGTCTTTTGAAATAGTACGCTCGTGTAAATGATAAGGGGTTATTCAAACGACCTCTGCTTTGAATGTCTTGATTGAAAACATTCAATCTCAACTTCACTGAATAAGAAACCTTGCAAAAAATGCAGTTTCTAGTCACCAATCATTTCAACTGATGCGCTACGTGGAATTTATGCTGCACAGTCATCAATAATTCATGTCGAAAACCTGCTCTCTTTGGTTTCCGAGAGTTACCGTTATTTAAGTTTATTAAACACCAAAAATTGTTTAAGCTAGAATTTTGATTCATTTTGATTCATTTTGATTCAGTACCATACTGGTGTAGGTAATTTTAAGCAGAAAATTTTCAAGAAAGAATAAGTTATGTAAAGTTTTAGTTAACAATATAGCCTTGGAAGTTATCGAAGTTCATTAATATTTTACTTTTAACTAAGCTAATACCGTAACCAATCTTCATGGCAAAAGATTAACGAATCGGTACTTGAGCATGTTAAGATTTCCTATCCAGGGAATTGAATAGAAGAGATCACTATGCGGGATCTCCACAAGAGACAGAGGTAACTGTTATTGTAATACGCTTCACAGAAGTATGATCAGTCCCTATTCCTGATATATCTGAACGTTGATCATCTATACATTTTTGACCTGTTTCGTTTTTTCTCCTTTGTTGGTTGATATTTTTCTTTGTTTCTCTTTTTTTCCCTGTATCCAAATATTATAATTGTTTAAGAATCAAAAAATGTTTGGAAAAAAAGTTTTAAAAGGATCCTTTGTTTTCTTTTCATCACCACAAAAAAATTGTTTGGAATTCGTCTCTTTTTCATTGAGATTAAAAGATTTCTGACACAAAACTGTTTTTTTTGCTATTTGGGACAGAGTTTGAAGTCATCGACAGCAAAAGGTGGGTAGATCTATTTCAATTCATTTCTACATACTTTTCAAGGATGCAGTCAAAAAATCACATACATGCCGTGTATTTCATACATACCGTGTATTTCTAGAAGAATTGGAATTTGTCTGATTTCATTGATATTTTACATCCAATTTAATTATTCATAGTAAAGTGTTCTCGCAAAGGAGAAGTTAATCGATAGGTAATTTGAAGAGCTTTCCTGCCTTGAGCAATGAATAAATGTTATCATAGTAAATGATCTCTGATAGAAATATAAGTCAATATTTTCACAATTGGCTACAAAGACGAGTTTATGGCTTATCTTTGAAAATGTTTTCGATAATACTTTTTCAGTTTTCCTTTTTTTATATTCATTTCCTTTTCTCACTTTCTTCAAGTATTTTCCAGTGTACCCATTTCTTCTAATTATCTTAGATTTATATGAACTTTCAAGGGCATTGGCATTATGTTTTTTTTCAATGTCCAATTATACGGGAATGGATGAGCAGGACCCCTCACAGACTTCTCACATGTACGTTAGGCTCTTCACCTCGAATCTCATGGGTCTTACCTGCTCTTAGGCTAAGGATCATTCTCCAAACGTTTTCTCAAGGTTACGCCCAACATCATCATAAGCATTTACAGGAAAACGGGTAATTCATCTACGTCGTGAGATTCTGAGTAAGACTGAGGAAAAAAAATAAGGAAGGAGGATGTGGGCTGCATTCAAGCATTAAATGGCATATAACTTATTACTCTAACCACAATTTAGGTGTGGAAAATTATTTCTTCTTTGTGTGACTAAGTGTTTCATTTAATTGAAAGTCTCTTTCGCAAACACTTCTAAAAATGTTTTTTTTTTCTTTCCTAAATTTCCCTTTGGTATTATCGTCACTCGTTATCCTTCTGTGATACCGAATCAGACTGCTAACATCATAATTATCCGAGAGTGACCTCAAATGACTCAACAAGTTTGCTCGATCATTCCAAAAGTTGTCCGATGAGGCTCTCGGCAGGAACGAAACGCCACGTCAAACCATTCACAAATTCAGATATTTATCAAGTTTTAAGCGGTTTTTATTTTTTCCTTTCGTGTTATTTTCCTGTCTTTTGCTTTTAATATTCCCCCATCTGGAATTGGTATTTTCCCAAAATAGAAAATTTAAAGTGCTATTTAAGGAAATATTTTCATGATTGTTAGTTAATTCTAATTTACAATTAAACAAGGGAAGTTCTTCCATAGTTCAACATTCGGAGTTTTGAGAACTGGGTCTAATACAAGCTCCATGTCTTTGATAATATCTTTAAAAAACTAATTCTGCATGATCTTACATTTTTCCTAATTGCTCATGGCCTAGTTCCGGACTTTATTCTTCCCCATGCAAATCATATGCAAATTTTGTCACGCGTTTGATTTTGCATCGATCTTCCCTTTTTAAGAGAATAAAAGTAAATGGGGAATCACAACTGGGATGAGAAGGAAGGTTGTACAAACTTGATTTCGAAGTCCTGGAGTAATAGCCATACTTCACCCATTTTTATAGCAGAATTTGGCCAAACAGAGGACTGATTGCCTATGACAGCAGAGAAAGGAATATCATGACTCAGAATACAATCTATTTGCCAAGAAAAGACGCATTCAAGATGAAACAAACGTTTCTATGATCAGTGACAACTTTATTAACGAAAGCTTAAACTCGGAGATAGTAAATATAATATTTGCAATGAAATGTGTTAGCTGTGAAAAGACGCCTTAGGGTATAATAGGGGGCATTGCCAAATTGTTCATCGGTTCCTTGCCTTTGATATTATCATGCTGGTCGACAGGACGGACTGCAGGCGAACTTTAAAAGTGACGCGCTCTAACTTAACATTTTGCATCATTTCGTGCTGTTCTTTAGTTTAAAATATTTCGATCTTGCTCTTTCGTATACTTTGATGATCTCCGTAGAGTGGCGATTTTTTTAATGGTTCCCGTAAAATAGAAAGACTTGTTTTGTTGATGCGTATATTCAATCAATCAAGCAGCTTAAATAACTAGATTCAACAGAACGAGAGTGTAATTTGATTGTTTAGTGTGATAATTTAGCATGTGATAGTAGGTCTACACTCATTCTTCAGTTTCGATTTGTCGCTCAAGTTAGGTAGTTCCGATCGCATCGTTGACTGAATGGATAAGTCCGAAATATGAACAGTCAGTAGCCTTTAGGTCTGTCACTAATTTTTAAAGTAGGCGGGGAGACGGGATGTTATTGAAAAAATGGTAACTTTTGATTCAGGTAATTATTTGAATATGCAAGTAACATTTGATGTTTTCACATGCAATAGGATGACCAAGCTGAAGATAGAGTTAACTCCGCTGTAACAATTAGGTGACTATTTTGGAAACTTGAGCACTCGGTATGTACACCTTGGCTTGCAGTTCTGATGATTACAGTTTGCTGCGGTAATTGAAATGTCAGTCCCTAAGCAGGAACTTTCCACATAACCTGTACAGTCATCTACTATGAGATAATTTTAGAAAAATACATATGTTTTGGTAGAACTATTGTAAGTACAGTACCGCCTGGTGATAAAAAATAATGATTTCCTGTAAGCATGAACGTTTTGGAGAAGTTATGGTGGTAATTGACCCTGTTTTTAGCTATGATGCATAGGGTCTCTCTTGAGAGGCCATTAAGACAGCAACTGTTTCGTTTCAATTAACTATCTCATAGCCATGCCGGCCTTAATGACCTACAACTTTTATTCTTGATAGCATTTAACGTCTTATTTAAAAGGAAATGATGAAAAAACAAGCGGACGCGTTTTTGTTTCTGAAACGAACACTTTTATTAAATTTTGTTTTCCTGTACGCTTGTGCAAAATGTGCTAACAGAATTTGAGGCACCTAGCTAATTCAACAATAAATTAAGGAGAAAAAAATGTTCTTTTTAGAGATGCTGCAGCTCCATGTATGAAAGATCAAGGTCTGTTATCTTTCTTCGAGAAAATCTATACAGCTCTTTGCGGTTCTGCTTTTAAGCTCTTTTCTTATTATGAAACAATAACACACAGATCAGTAGAGGAATATATACATAATTGGAAAATTCAAAACTCTCATTAAAATAAGGGCACACAATCCTGGTGACAAATCGTAAAGTTATATCAGATGATTTCTTTTTTCTTATCCCAGGATGTTGAAATATGACCTTAAATATGAGGTTCGTTATTGCCTTTCAAATCGTTGTTACGTATTTAATATCCTTTATACGCCAGCCAAATGAAATAATGAATTCCAAACATGTATACTTTTTATGCATTATTAGGAATTGAAGACGTTTTGCCGTAGCTGAGTAAGAAGTCATTATAGTATTTACATATGTTTTGATAACGTCATCATCCTCACAAAAGATAGGTTTTAAACCTGTAGAAGTGACGTTAAACCAAGACGTGATAGCTCGTTTGTAAATGCAGCCATGCATGATAAAACAGTTTCGGTTTGTTCGTGATATCGACAGATTTAAGGCCTTGGTATCTATTATCGATAATTATCTATGAAAATTTTACCCAGTGATTATTAATAAACAGACTTCCTTTCTGCACAAACTCAAAAAAAATCCTAATTTCACGCAAAGGCATAAACACACCAAATGCAATATATACAATGGAGCAAAAGACGAACTATGATCCCCTATACCTTATTACGGCAGCCCAAAACTTATCAGTCGGTGCTGCAGTAACGACGGGAACACTTTGTCTTAAGCAGGTTGTAAACGTAATAAGATCCACAATTTCTTACTTTAATGAAAACTGTGCCTTACAACATTTTTCTCCATGAGTAAAGCAAACCGTTCTGCTGACTACACCCTCAGTTTCTGTTGGATGGTTACCATTCAGCCAACCAGGTAGAACAGTTCCACATCTGCTGTCAGGGACACAACTGGTGGGCATCTTTGTACCAGCGTCTCCTTGGAAACGAAACCAGCCTTCGTCAAGTACAGAGTCGCAAGATTCTTCTCCATGTGGTGTATGATGCGTGGTTTTCCTTGTTGCACTGGTCAAGTTTGAGTAGCTTAAGCATTCTAAATAGTTATCGTAAAAAAGAGAAAAGCTGAATCTTCAAAAGTGTTTTCACAGTTAAAAGGGATAGCTCATTTTGACAATTACTAAACAGAAACTAAAAAATTCCCCATGAACGATTGATAAATTTTTGTGAAGGTTACTCACCGTGCGGTACGAAGATGCAACTGGTCTTCCCGTCCCCTCGGTAACCGGGGTTACAAACACAGTTGTACGATCCAACCGTATTTACACATTTTGCTAAGTTTTCAACGCAGCCATGGAGACCACTTTCGCATTCGTCAATATCTATGATGCGATAGTAACAGCCATGATCAGAACGTATGAATGCCATCTGTTCTTACTTTATACCAAAAAGTCACGTAATCCTTTATAAAAGAAACAAACCTAAATATTTCAAAAGCAATCGGTCAACTGATTTATTGATCAGGTTTTCAATGCACGACTGATTAAGAGATTTTCTTGATTAAATGAATTGTTATTACTTGATTAGCTAATTAATGAAAAATTGATCTTCAAGCGGGCTGATGGGGTGACTATTTTCTAAATGATTGTTTGACTGGATTTAATGCTCGAATTTATCACCTCCTGCCCACGAAGACGTAAAAGAGAAATAATAAATACAGTACATATGATTCAACGAGTGATCACGAATGAGTTAATGATTCATTGAATAGTGCAAACTAACATGCGTACGGGCCAACACAACTAAGAATTAATAACCTCATAAATGAATTTACTGGACGAGTTTGATTTTTCAGTCAATTACTCCACCTTCTGTTTCCATGTCGCAGTAAGCTAAAACAGCTTTTCCATGATTGGCGGAATAGATCCAGTACTGGCCGCTGACTACTTGTTGTCCCTCGCTCGCCTTTATTTCTTCACAAGATTTAGCTGGAAGCTCTGGAATGGAACCCAGTGGCGCTATAGATAATGAAACATTTATGACGAAATAATTGGAGATGGAATAGTTTCTAAAAAAGGGTAAACGCCGTGTTGAAACAATAGGACTTCACACATTATTTAGCGCCATAAAAATTCAAAGGGACGAGGCACAGCCATTAAGAATAAACCTACCTTTTGATAGGTCTTCGTAACGAAGACCTTCACCCTTCTCTTTCTCCTCTCCCCCTCCTCATCTATCTTCGACAGCGAAGGAAGGAAGTAAAACTGTTATTTTTAACCCCGAAGATATATTCATATAACCCAGAAAAGTTCAGAAAAATATATCTTCCTATCAGGAGAAACAGCACATCCACATCTTTTAATAACTACAAACCTCTCTTTCTGGCTATCCCATAATAATATCTCGTAAAGTTAGGGATGAAATCTTCAGGTTTGTCTTCCTTGGTGTGGTTATTCAGTTCACAAATGTCGTCGGAGAAGTCGTAATTGAAGCTTTGGCACTTAACGTCGCCGTTGCAAGCCTGAAGACAGTGGAGTGAGCTGGAAGGATTTATTATTTTAAAGATGTGTCGTTGCAGCATCATACCGAAGATCGACTCTTCTCTGTTACACTGTTGCGCAATCAGTCCAGAAAACCTTTGGAGCAGCAAAAGCTGAAGTAATACGGAAAAACGGCAAATGAATAGCATCCCTTTACTAGCGATGCACATTTCTTCAAAGTTTCGTGAATGGTCTCCGGGTTCGTCTAGTTTTTTTTTCTATTTTCGGTTCTGATAACCTTGCTGCGCTGTAATTCTGTGCACATGCGTCACTGTAAGGTGTTTATATTTCTACACAACATTTGGTGTCAATAAAATGGTTTCCCAATCTCCAGTCGTTTCAGTACAATTCCTTTTGTCTTTGTTTATTATGATTTGGAGTAGCTATCGTTTTTCTTCCGCTGAAGAAACAACAAGGAACTCCCTGTTCTGATGACCATGGTGCGCAGTAATGCATTTTCGCTCAGCCCTTAATCCTTCCGTCAATGTCAGTGTAAGAAGGTGTTTATATTTCCGGACAGCAAACATCTGGTGTCAATGTTACCGTTTCCCAACCTCCAGCCGCTGGTTTCAATACAATTACTTTTGTGTTTGAATATTGTGATTTGGTATAGTTATTGATTCCCATCCGCTGAAGTTACACAACATTTCGCGTTTAAAATGGAACGAAACTTTTGGTAGAAATGTAACCTCCCAGCAAAATTATCAGCATAAATACAGAAAAGGGTAATTCTTAAATACAGAAAAAGGCAGATTGAAATTATTATTTTATACCCATTAGACGCTCTCTAAAAAGATTTCATTTACTCGAAAACATCATAAGAGTTATATTATACAATCGCCATATCAATTACTGACTTATTCATGGATATTGCTTCGTTGCAAAATTGAATTAATTTTATTTGAAAAAACTTTCCTTTTGTCTATCATGACCTTGCATAAAATTAGAAAAAAATTTCAATTATGTTGATTCAAGTGATGAATAGCAAACTTCCATTAGAAATTAATTCAGATACATTGTGTGAACACAAAAACAAAGATTTCAGGCGGTTGGTGAGCTCTTAAAATTAGCTTCGGCACTTTGTTATCTCCTTCGATTTTCACTTCCTTTCAAAACTTTCTTCTTGAACTAATAATTTCTTAAATCAAGAAGTCGCTAGAAACGCTACCATTAAAGGTAACTGCGAAATTTTTCTTAATCCTTTCGGCCCCCAGTTCTCAATTTTCCTCTCTCCTTTCTACCCAATGTATCTACCATGCATTTCTAACGTTTTTTTTAGGTGTTACACCAAATATTACCCCTTGTTAAATTTTTTTTTTCTCACAGAGTACGGTTACGAATCCTGCAATCTGATTGGTTCTTAGCGCGCTCCGTATTTTCCCATCTCTGCCTTCGGGCAACGGTAACGCTTTCGTGAGTCGCCGAGAACACCCCTACCTTCGTTGCCAATTTTCACAAATGCATCTCGTTTTTCTGGCTGGGCAGTATTTTTAAGATAAGGCGTCGGGCTATACAATTACCTGCCTTGCCATTAACTTATTGAACAGAGGTCAATCTTCGTACATTAATTAATCATCGATGAGATTGAATAATACTTTCCGAAAGATCATTGACTGTTTTTTAAAAAAGCATCGTCGTGACAGTCCTAACCAAGTTATTAGTTCAGTTGTTTTTTTCAAAAGAGTACATGCACTTTTTTTTCTTACGAACTTTCTAATCGACAGCTGTCAGATTGCGACAGATACTTGTAAAAATAATGTTTTAAAGTTTGTTTGGAAACCTTTTAAATCACCTTTATTGTTAAGCAAATGAAAATCTCTCGGTGAAGCATCTCTATTTAAATTGCACTACCTCTATTTTAACTACCATGCACTCGCTCAAAAATTACTCAGTTTATGGAATATCTTGCCGTGATTACAGTCCTAAATTTGCTGTCTCCAACTGGCTAGCTGCTCAAGGTATTAGCCCTACACCAATCAGCGACAGACTCATGTCAATGCGCATACAGCTTAAGGGCGGCGACAATCTAACACTCATTAGCGTTTATGCACCAACCATGCAAACACCGCAGGAAGAAAAGGAACAGTTCTATGAAATGCTCGGTAGCTGTGTATCAGCTGCCGAAATGGACAGCGTTATAATTTTAGGTGACTTTAACGTTCGTGTGGGTTTGGACTGGAAATAATGGCCGAATGTCATCGGGAAGCATGGAGTTGGAAAGATGAATTCCAACGGTCTCATACTCTTGGAATTTTGCACCAGATTCCAGCTCAGTATCATGGGTACAAGGTTTCAACTGAAAGACAGCTTAAAGAACACATGGCAACACCTTCGTTCAAAACACTGGCATCAGCTCGACCACGTACTATCCAACAAGGCCGCAAAGTCATATGTTTCACTGACAAAAATCAATCGTGCAGCAAACTGCTTCAATGATCACAAGCTCCTTATATCTAAGTGTCTCTTCTCCATCAAGAACAAGAAGAGAGGTACAAGACCCCCCAAAAAACTAGACACACGCTTGGATGACGACAAGAAAGTATTGCTAGAACAGTTTCTAGATTAGAGGCTGTCCACCTGTAACACTGACGTTGACGAGCTCAGAGTTGTTCTCCAGAACGCTGCTGCCCATGTCTTTGGTAAGAAGAAAAAAGTGCAAAACGACTGGTTCGATGATCAGGATGATGCAATTCAAAAACTCCTCCAAGATAAGAACATGGACAGACATGTTTTGAGAAGGCGCATTAGAGAGCTCAAAAACAATTGGTTCCGACATAGAGCTGAAGAAGCAGAGCGGTACTCTCAGGAGAAGAACCACAGAGACTTCTATGCCACTCTAAACGCTGTTTATGGTCCAAGATCCAGAACCTCTCATCCAGTGAAGTCCAAAGATGGCGAGCTCCTGACTGCCCCTGACATGATAAAAGAAAGATGGGTTGAACATTTCTGCGACTTACTAAACCAACCTACTGATGCTGATTTGACCATTGCCGATGGCATAGATCAGCTTCCAGTCATTGAATCAATGAGCTGCCCAATTGAAGAGCAAGAACTTGACGAAGCTCTTAGAAACACCTGACTAGGAAAGAGCCCAGGTCCTGATGGCATTCTTCCTGAAATACTTGTGAATAGTGGACGTCGTTTGAGAGCTTTCCTGCTTGTCCTTTTCAACATCTGCTGGGTTACAGAGATAATCCCATTGGACTGGATAGATGCGAACATCGCCGTATTGTTCAAAAAAGGTGACAGAAGTCATTGCGGTAATTAGAGAGGTATATCGCTACTTAGTGCTGTTGGAAAAGTATTGGCGGACATCATTTTGCAGAGGCTACACCTGTTAGTGGAATCCATGTATCCCCAGTCGCAGTCAGGGTACCGTAACGGAAGAAGTATCATAGACGGAATTTTCACGCTTCTCCAGCTGATGGAAAAAACAAGAGAGCAACGTAGATGCTTGTACATACAGATTGTACATACAGATTCCAGCTCAGTATCATGAGTACAATGTTCCAACTGAAAGACAGCTTAAAGAACACATGGCAACACCTTCGTTCAAAACACTGGCATCAGCTCGACCACGTAGCGACCACGATTGTAGCCTTCATAGATTTTGTCAAGGCGTTCGACACTGTCAATCGCGAGCTTCTTTTCATCATCCTTCGCAAACTTGGCTGTCCGCCAAAGTTTATAAGAATCATCAAGAAGCTTTATACAGATGTACACGCCAGACTTATAGTTGATGGTGAACTTACCCAATCCCTTGAATACAATAGTGGGGTTAAGCAGGGGTGCAGACTAGCTCCAACACTCTTTGGCATCTATGCGGAAGTCTTACTATGGCTTGCCTTCAAGAAAATCAAACACACTTGCAGTGTACAGATCAGGTTACGTTACGATGGAGATCTTTTTGACCTACGTAGGCTTAAAGCAAAAACCAAAGCCCTAACAGTGTTCATCAGAGACGCTCAGTATGCTGATGACATTTCTATTTTCAGTGACACGCCAAAGGGTCTGCAATCGCTTTTGACCTCGTATAATGACGTCGCTAAGAGGATGGGCTTGTGCATCAACACGGTCAAAACAGAGACTATGTGTATTGGTAACACAGCTGATTTCTTCGTAGACGGTACCAAGTTAGCTAACGTCACTCGCTTCAAGTACCTCGGCAGCTATGTAAGCAGCGACCGCTCTATGAAGGAGGAACTTGCATCTCGTATTCAAGCAATGTCATGTGCTTTTGGTCGACTGCGAAAGAGAGTTTTCGACTCGCATGATCACGGTTCACGCCCTATAGGCCACCCCAAGCTTCGGTTCAAGGACACCTGCAAAAGTGCTTTGAAGTGCGGTCATGTCTTAGATCAGTGGCTTTCAACCGTGGACAACAGAGCCAAATGGAAGAGACTCACAAGGGTAGTCTGTGACGCATACAACTCTAAGAGGGTCAAGGATTATGAAAACAGAAGGGCTTGACGTAGAGCTAAACCGAGGAAAACTGTGGATATACCCGTGTTCGGGCTATAGGCGTATTATTATTATGTTGGGAAAACTGCTTGTGGACCTTATGCGGTCGATATTCATAATGAACAGGTTAACTAGTCAAGACAAAATATGGCCTATAACGAATGTTGGGAGCTGTGTAACACGAGGAACATATATTCACCTAACAATTGGTATTAAACCTCCGTAGTGGGAAAGACGCCAAAACCACGCATTCACTGACCCATTCTTTGGTTCTGACTCAGAGGAGTATTAAGATATGCATCACTCTTGGCTTTCGCGGTGCAGCTTTCGCTTTCATGGTGTTTTCTTTTAAAAGCAACTACGTACTAGTTCGATAGAGCTGACGAAGAATTTTCTTTAAGGTTTAGTGGTAGTTACGACACCCAATCACAACTTTGACATCTTCTAACAGCAAGACACATCTCACCATCCACCATATAACCATCGAAGGACTCAAGTCTTTTTGTACCCCCCTCCCCACCCACAGAACAAAGAGTTGTAGATCTTCAGTTGGAATTTATAACCAACTCTGAAACGTAAATTATAATCTCAGTGAATCTTCCAATAGATTCGCAGATGTGTTGCATTTTTCATCGATTGATTATAGATATATATGTAGGTTACATGTACATAGATTTTGAATGTTTTTTGTAACTCACGCTTTTAATATTTATCTATCTATTTATCATATCATTTTTGTTTACATGTAAATGATGGCCCTTTCCTGTTAATTTTAATGACTCTGGCAAGGGCGGGTTTGCATTCTTTCTTAATCTTATGTCCCCTTTCTCGTTGTTTTTTTCTCTTGTTACGGTATAATCTAACCGACAGAAAAACACTACAATCCCACCAACTCTACTACTTTATTTAACGAGTGATAGTCTTAGTGAGGAGCGACTCCTAAAGACAGTACAGTACTTATGCTCGATAACCTTACTTCATCCCACCACGGTCTATATCTTAGATGATTATATGATCTCACTTTTAGGAATAGTTATGTTATAGTCTTTCCCTTTCCCATGTAACCATGGCTAAAAACGCAGTAGTAGGATCCAACTGTATTTACACATGTCGCCAAATCCTTGATGCACTCATGGATACCACTTCGACATTCGTCAACATCTGTGATACAGAAATAATGGAATTAGCAATGCCACCAGCAAAAGGCAGTTATAGATAATTTTCAGTCTTCAGATAACTCGGCAAAATATCGAAAAAAAAGTCACCGCCGCTCGAAACAGTGAACATTCAACCGTATCAATACCTACACCCTGGTCTCTCCAAATCTTCAATATTAATAACTAAAAATGTTAGAAACGAAATCTTCCAGTCTCGCTTCCCAGATGCTGTTATCCAGTTAGCATTTCGTAATTAAAGCTTTGGCATCTGATGTCGCTGTTGTAAGCCTGAAGATACTGGAGCGAATTTGACGGAAGTTTTAATTACTGTAAAGACATGTCGCTTAAGCATCTCGCCATAGACGGAAGATTTATGACGGCAGTGTTGCGTAATCAGATCGAAGAACATTTGAAACAGCATTGACTGAACTAATATTGGAAAACAACAAACCAAATCAACATATATCCTTCTATTATATATTTTTCAATTCCTCCGATGCTTTCTCCTCTACTTCGTGATCTTCAAACTATACTAGGCTGAAACGCATGGACGCGAAGCGCTACGTCATCCCTTCGTAGGACTTTTTATTTAAAATTTTGAAATTACTTTGACAGATCCTTAAAACAACTGTTCTCAGTTGTATGTTATCCCACCCACCCACCAAATGTTTCAGGTGAATCATCATCGTCTTCATATTTCATGATTATAAATCGCTAGTATTCCTGATTTATCAATTCGTTTGGATTCATAAATTCCGCGTATAAAATTCTGAAAAACGTTTGTATATTAACAATTTGATTAACAAGAAAAGCTACTGAATTATTTTATTGGTGTTGTGCTAAAAAAAATAATAAATGCGCTAATTAGAATATCACTTTGAGATAATTTCGTGAAAGAGGATAACAGCACTTTCTTACAATGCATATATTTTGCGAAATATGACTAAGGACTAACGCTTTAAACGTCAGCTTTAGAAACTGTTTACAGTGGCCAAATTTATATTATTTACTCGGTTGATGAATCAAATTACCTCCTATCTCTATGTACTCCTTTGTTTACCTGCTTGTCTGTTAGTCTCACGCAATCAATCCATCATGAAATTATCTAAAGGAAGTTCAGTAACATAACATTGTAGCTCCTTGGTTCCGCAGATAAAGAGAGGAAGGTGTATGAACGGCGTCCTTGGCTATTCATGGGAAGGAAACAAACCGGTTTGAACTCGAGAGACGCCTTCCACATTTTTTGTTTTGTTTAGAAATGTACTTCCGCAAAGTACAAGGAATTCGCCCACAGGAAAAAAATTCAATTCATACTTAACACATATGAGGATTCCTCTCGACTTCTCGACCGAAACATTTGTATTTATGTGTAAGGATAAGGAGCCCTCATAACCAATAAAAGAAACATGTTGAACTATCATGCTCACATTGAGAACAGAGGGAAATGTAAATAAGTTTATAATCGAAAACACGATATCACCCCTCATGGCCAGTGGCGAGGGCCACTTGCAAAAAGAAAGGGAAAAAATGGATATATCAGAGACTCATTTAAAGCGGTGGCTATAGCGCTCTAAATGGATCTAATAGTTGTTTACTGGCTAAAAAAACAAACACTCCCTATGGTCAGTAATTAATAGGGAAATGAAAATGAATACTTAAATCGCCACCTACTAGAGCTAGGATATGTTATTACTATTATTATAATTATTATTATTATTATTAAAAAAATCATATATACTTTTTTTCGCCCTGTTATTCTGTTATTGCTCAACGCATGCTATTCTATTGAAAAGTTATAAGAATTCGAATGGAAATTGTCTTAAAAATGCTAATTTTTTACTCGATATATTTGTTTTACTGAAGTTTTTAACAGGTGCCGAGACCTGTTCTAGGACTAAATTACAGCAGAAAGACATGGATTTAATAATTAGCATGAGAGTCAAATTTCAACATAATATAACAAACAACGGCTGGCTCTAGCACAAAATAACGAACGGTGTTCGGTTTTGAGACAAGGTGAAATAATCACGAGAAGATAATTCCTTCCAGTCTCCAAAAAAAACTGTGAAAGGGAACTTTGCTCGAATGTGGAGCATAATTATACAAGTTAGAAAAATAGTATATATTCTTCGAATAGTGATACTGACACGAACGTAATTCCCAAAGACGAGGCATGATGTCAAAAACTTGTCAAATATGGGCGACTGCGCTGCTATTGATATGTATGCTGAGTGAGTATCCATGCTCCTTTTCAGACATTAACTTCTGCAAAGTAAGTACTGCAAGCACACTCCGAGACAAGAATCGAAGCTGTGGCCTTCCGAATAGCATGGTGAAAAAGGGGAGGCAGAGAGTGATTGAGCCAGGAGTGTTTTAGACTAGTTTTCCATGTATTACAGCTGTACAGACCAGCTTTCTTTATCAAAAGAAGGAAATAATTTTAAGAAAGAGTTCTTCGGGAAACCAGAGTACCAGACCATTATTAAGGCACAGGCTTTAATTCCAATTTAACATAGGGTCCATCGTGGCGATGTGAACGGCTCTTCTGCATGATTAGATTGTAAACTTCACGCCTGATATTTCAATTTAAAGATATAAGAAATCTGGAATAACTAACTGGATGGTTTGCGCAAAGTTCTTCTTTCACTTTGCAAATTAAAAAAAAAAAAAAAAATGACCGAACTTACTAGCCTAGACTTTTGCAAGGGCCATGACCACTTATATGTGCAAAGAGCCCCAAAAATGGTATTTATTTCTGTGCATGATGACAATGTGTCCTAACCGACTGTAACAAAGGCGCGTATGAGGGCCACCTGACTAAAGTCAATAACTCAATATCTGGTAACAAAAAATTTTAAAACAATTTTTAAAGCTTGTCTTAATGAAAGAGTAAAACGGACTGTTTGATGCTGAAGAAATCGGTCTTTGTAATCCATATATTTTTTTTAATCGCCAATTTGATAAAGTCAATCAGCTCCATGATAGTAAAATACCTCTGAATGAGACAGGCCAAATATTAACATGCACTAATAATTTGTGCGGTTTGATGAAGCGGCACTGTGAATTAGTACTCTGTGCCCGATGTATTCGAGAGTTGCATATCACATTTGATTTATTTAGTGAAATTCCTGTGATACCTTTTTTCTTTCCTTTATCATTATTCAGGTTTTGGGTTTGTCGATGACGTTTGCAAAGGCGAGAACGACCCGTGTACGCTGGAATGTAGCGATCAAAGCACTGCTTGTGAGCAGAATTGCAAAGTTGGTAATTATACTTGTAAACTGAACTGTAGCGTAGACAATTGTAATCAAAATTGCAACTCTCGAATATGTTTTCTTCATTGCACCAAGGGAGTGTGTAAACAGTCTTGCAAAAGTGGAGTGCGAATATGCCAAATGGAATGCATCGGTCATACCTGCAGTCAAATGTGCCACGCTCGTGAATGTATCTTAAAGAGAAGTTATTCATTAAATTCTGGTTCAGGTGTGCAAACATGCAGCGGGGAGTACAAAGCCAATGTGATATGCGATGCCACGCTTTTAATTGTAGACAACATTGTAACGCTCAAACATGCAATCTGAAATGCAGAGGGGAAGAATGCAATCAGAATTGCATTGGTGGAGAACAAGGATGTATTATGCAATGCATGGGGAGCGCTTGTTCACAAACTTGCGACGCTTATACATGTGAGATGACAAGAAGTGGGTCATCAAATTATTATACAAAGCAAGTGTGCACTCCCGGGAATGGTCCATGTTGTCAACGTATCTTGATGAATGAAAGTCTGGGATCCTTTGAAACAACCTGTCAAGGAAGAGAGCAATGTACGTGCCCCGAATGTTTAAATCATAACTGCATAACTTTGAGCAAATCGGATGTCGCTGCGGCTGTCTCGGCTTCGACGGTTCAAGCTATTTCAACCCATATTTCAACAGAACAAGGTAAAGTAAACATTCATTCATTTTATTGTCCATGACTAAATATCGAAAGACCCATGCATGACATATTACTTTCTTAATTGCCCTTAATCTAAATTCTTTGTGCGTCATTATCATTCGTATACGTAGTGATATTTTTTTTCATACGATGTTTCCATTCAGGTAAAAACGTATTTTAAAAGTTAAACCTGCTTTACACGGATGCCGTGTATAAAAAATGTATAAAAGAGTTAGAAGATCTTAGTTTGGAATTTGAAAATTTCATTGTTTGCTTTCTAACGATGAGCAATTACATAGCTTAAGCGTTTCTTATAATAACTGATATGCAACGGTTACAACGATTTCATGCGCTGGAAAAACCGAGGACTCAAATGATTATGATTCGGAGTTTGATTGTTCACGATATTATACATTATGAACTGGCCTTACTAACGGCCCGTTGATAATTTCACCAGTATTTCTTTCACAGGTCACGATACGCAATGCACGGTTCTGCAGTTTTTCAATTCTTCAGAGTCCACTAGAGCCACATCCCCATATATGTACCTTACTACAGTTGTCGAAACGAAGCCGAGCTAATGATTCATGAAAAGTTAAAATTATATCTGGAGGAACAAAATCTCTTATGCATCTAATAACACTTTCATAGAAGGAAAAATTTTGGAAATTTCTTTGATATGAAATTGCCAACATAGATTTTCATCATAATATATGCCGAGATATCTCGTTGTGGAGATTCCTTTAACAGGGATTTTGTTTATTCCTACTTCGAGACTTTCGGGTAAATAAGACAATCTTTGTCTAAACCCATTTAATTGAGATTCTGGCTTGATAGGAGGTTATTAAGGATGAGCTAATTATGCAGTTGATTAGAAATCATGCGTTTTAAAGCCTTTGTGACAACAGGAATAATTGAAAATAGTCGGTTACTGCATGGATTAGCTCCCTTTCGACCATTTTTAAAGAATGGAGTGATTCTAGCATTCTTCCACCGATCAGGAAAAGGTCTTGTTGATACTGATTGGTTGCTCCAGGCCCCGGTTGTTCGAAGGTCGGATAACGTTAATAGTTATCGGTTGAAATTTCGACTAGGATCATCTCGGCGATCAGGACAGGCTATTCTCAGAGCAGCATGGCCGAGATAGCATCAAGTCCTGATGCCTTGAACATTTATATAGCTGATATCTTCATCTTTGATCTTTGTCGATTCAGAACCGAAAAGAAAAAAATCATTAAAGGTGTCAAGAATTTTAGTTAGATTTTTTGTTCTCTCTCTCTATTACGCTCCAGTTCATTGATTGGAGCCTAGAGCATCAGAGTATCAGAGCATTAGAGCTCTAGAGCTCTCTAACATGAATTTGAGTTTAATTTTACTGTTTGGATCAACTTTGACATACAGCTTCTCTGCAATCGTCGCCTTCGTCCCCATTACTGCTACTCTCAATTCCATCATTATCATCACCGTTCTCCTTGCAGCCATCGATATTATTAACGTTACCGTCATTACCATCGTCATTATCATCATCCTCATCATATACATCAGCGTCGCCATCTTCGTCATCGTCATCTTTAACTTGGACATCTCCGTCAACCCCTCTCGAAAAAATTAAAAATTTGATACGTGGTGCAGTTTCTTTTAATCCTTGTATTTGTAGTGTTTATCATCTTTCTCATTTGCCAAAGTGATTGACTTTTCTCACCTTAGGAAAATGTATTTACTTCGAAGCGTAATGGAGTCAACATCAGCAGAAACAGCTCCCTGCAGGTATCTAAATTTACATGCACAAATACTTATCTATTCATATTGATGAAACATACAGGGATAGCTGATTTAAAAGCATGGACATGTGTTTATTGAGTGAGCTCGATACTGTTCACAATACATCAGCGTCTAGGATACGGTAAAAGAGCACATAACCATGACCACATGACCATGGTAATAATATGGTCGGTTTAGAAATTAGTTCGAGCCTGCTCGCTATATTATGCAAATTAAAGTATGTTGCATTTCAAGTTGCTGCTGCTGCTTAGACGATAAACTGCGAAGTAATTTGACTCTATCAAAGATTGTAATATGTTATCGCCATTCATTCAAAGCGCTCATAAAACTTTTTACGCGCTCATTGTCTTATAAAGTAGATAGAAAGTATATAAATCAGACTTTTAGTGCACCCTTTTGACAACAAGACCAAAACAATTTCAACGAAGAAACAATCTCCAAAGTAGTCATGCTAACCGCCGGCCGCCAAAAACCACTTATCAAACTTAGTCACGGAATCACTAACCTATCGCCCATTTCCGAATTACTTCTGGCCTCTTTGAAAGCGATTCCTGACGCCCTTCCTTTCAAATGATTTTAAGTTTTCTTTCACATGCAAATTAATCTAATTTTTACGCGAATGATTGAGCAATAGCTCTCGTTTTGAAAAAGTGACTAAAGGCGATTAAAAAATGGCCTATTAGTTGTGATTAGCCTATATTTGCCCTGGTGCACAGATCGTTAGCCCAGTGAATTGTCCTTTGACCGATTTCGTTTAAAAATCAGGTTTATTTTCCTGAAGGGGAAGTAATAAAACCATAAATCTATGAAAAAAACAGTAGTAAATCAGAAGACCTGGCCATCTTGTCTGATTATACTGATGCGTAAATTCAAGCTTACAGAGTTGAGACATTTGCAATTACAGGAGGTTATACGTTTGTTTGAAGACTTCGCCGATCAATATCAGAACATCACAAAGTCCCATGGCAGCCAACTTGGTATAGAAGAGCTCCAACGAGGAAAAGAATCCGTCTTTAAGGTGGCAGTTGCCCTCGAAAAATTTGTTCTTGATTACAGTCAATATCACCTAAATAGAGAAGAGCCCTTGAAAAAAATAACACGCCAGAAAATGGGTGAGTAAGACATGAAATTTCTTCAAATTATTAGAGATAATTTCTTAATAAGTTGCAGACCAACTGACCAACTGATTTAATATTTCAGCTACTACCTGGCTTGAAGTATCAACTAACTTTTATGAATTGTAAAAGGGCATTAGTTAGTTAGTTACTGCCATTATGTCGGATGACATCTAAGGCATCACCGAAGGTCCTCCACTCCAGTCTATTCTGGGTCAGATTGGCAATGGCGCTGCATGTGTGGTTCCAGGCTTTCAGTTCTCCTACCACTGTATGATGAAAGACTTCTTGGGTCTGCCTCTGTTCCTCTTCCCTCCAGGTGTTTACACCTGTGATGCAGTTATGTTCCTTCCTCGCGACAAATCCGATTTTATCGCCACCGCCTTCAGTGGAGGATGGTTCTCATATAGTCCTGTTGGCACTGACCCAGTATTTGGTCGCTAATGATAGTGTTTGGCCAAAAAACTATCATCTTAATTACTCTCAAGCTATTGGCATGTAGGACAGACAGCTTGGAAAGATTACCTTCTGTAGCTCTGATATAAATTTACCTTGGTCCTGATTCTGTACTGCTGGAACCTCAGTGATTCTTAAGTATTCTGAAAGCATTTCTGGCCATGTCTAAGCGGTTATTGATGTCCTTGTGTTTTTTTCCATCGCGTCTGTCTGTGCTGCCCAGGTATGTAAATTTATCTGCTATTGAAAGATCCTATCCCTTTGCTCTGATTTCCTATCACTGTCATGACCTCCGTCTTCTTGTTGTTGATCTTCGGGCCGATCTGTTCAACAAGGCCAAAGAGATTGATTGTATTGTCTTACCCACGCTGATGGGTGTGAGATAGCAGCAGCAGGTCATCACCAAAAAGGTATTCTTAACCGATACTCTCGCCTCATTCCATCGTCGTAGAAGCTCTTAATGAGAAGCACTTATTAATTTTGCTGCGGGATCCCGAACATGCATAATGTGTACCGGAGGCTAAGTCCACAAATCTCATCCATAGCTGTCTCTGTCAATCTATGCATTGCTCCATGATGTTTCTTAGAGCGAAGATCTGGTTGGTTCATCCCCTTTTCTTCCTTAACCCTGGTTATTCCTTCCTGAGCTCTGGATCCTCTGCATCTGATATTCGTTTGATGATGATCTTACCCTCAATGATTTTGCTTGAAAATGACAAGAAGGTTATTCCCTACCAGTTGCCTCAATCCGACAGGATACATTTTCTTGGGATCTTCACCATAACCTCCTCTTTCCAGTCATCTGGAACTTTCTTTCCTACTCACACAGCTGTGAAGAGGCGTCTTTGGGTATAATAGGGGCCATTTCAAAATACTCATCGGTTTCTTGCCTTTTGTTTTGATATTATCATGCTGGCCGACGAGACGCGCTGAAAATCTAATTTTTGAAAAGTGAAGCGTGCTAGCTTAACATTTTGCATCATTTTGTGCTGTTCAATAGTTTGAAACATTTCGATCTTAATCTTTCGTATACTTTGATGATCTCTGCAAAACAGCGATTTTTTTAACGGGTCAATTAAAACAGAACGACTTGTTTTGTTGATGGGTATATTCAAGATTCCACAATAAACGCTAGCATATATGCAACATATTATTGTTACTTAAAATATGCAACCATTTGCCATCTATTTTTCTCCTTCTTGCAACAGTTTTGGGTATGTGGAAAGGTTACCGCCAGAATGCGACCGACTTCTATCTCGAAGAAAATGAATGGCACGCAAGCATCAATGTTCCTTCTGAAAATTTTGCGGAGAATGGTTTGTTTTAACTTTAAACAGTCAGGAATCCTTCTGTTACTTTGATCTGCCTTTCTAAATGTGTTAAACATGGAAACTCTCGATGAAATTTCTTTTTGCATCCAACCTAACAACGCGGCAACCAAATAGTGGTGGAGGCCCTTAATAAGACTTAACGTTCTAGAATATGAATTATTTTTTTTTGCTTTATAATGCTTTTGTGTTTTGGTGTTTATTTATCAGGATCATTGGTAATAGGATGCGTATACAAGGATCTTCATGAATTATTACAAACCAATCAGGGCGGAGGGGATAAAACTGAGAATTCAAGGTGACTTTGATAGCTATTTCCCTAGACCTACCAAGTGCATCCTTTATTCGATGTTTGCTTTGTTAAAATCTAGGTGGTTATTAGCACAAAATGGTCTCTACAGGTATGTGAACACAAGGATAATGACCGCGGCTGTAGATCCCAAACATGAAAAATTACGACAGGACGTCATATTAAAGTTCAGAAACCTGAAGGTAACAGCAAGAACACTAAATGTGCATTTCAGTCCGTTTTTGTTGGGTTGACTTAAATCAACAGAAATACAATCCCTTTTTAGGTCGATGAGGGAGAGAAGCAGTGCATGTTTTGGAATGGCTTAGGCAAGAGGTAAAAACTGAGAAATTATGAACCTTAAGTTTTATTTGTAATGATTTGCTGTTTGCGTCCAAACTTTTCGACAATTTGAAAAGCATCAGCTAAACGCTTATTCGGGGTGTGGTAGTCGGTGTCTCAGGATATATTTATAGCAATGATTACTGATATTTTCGATAATAAAAAGGAGAGTCTGACAATAACCTCTCGGGACCTAAAAGGTGTTAACAGAGAAAATTATGGAGACAGCTTTTTTAAAAGGAAAGTACAACAGCTGCTGTACAGATAAAGGTTTTGTTTTACCTTGAACAATTTTTTCCCTGTATGTGTACATTCGTTTGGGAATATCATGTGATTTTGGTCGTTCTCCATAGAAGTGCAGCGGTATGATACGCCAGAAAAGAAAAGAGATTTATGCGGAAGGTTTTACTTTTAAGAGCAGGATTTGATTTTTTTTAAAATTCAAAATCATTATTCTTATTTGCCATATTCATTTTTTTAGTTTCGACGGATTCTCAGGGGATGGTTGTTACGTAGATCCATTGAGGAGCAACTCAAAGGACACAGTCTGCAGATGCAATCATTTGACACATTTTGCTGTCTTAGTTGACTTCAGAGGCGACGCGGAGGTATTTTTTTTCTTTTTAAGGTACTTTACTTTCAATAAATAAGTGTCATGCTCCGCGAAAAACTCTATTGTCCATTTTCACTTTTGCCACAGCTCTCCAAGAAGGACGTTACTATTCTGGAGATAATCACATACGTCGGATTAAGCCTTTCCATCGTCGGAATACTTTTGACCATAACGCTGTATTCTTTTCTCACGTAAGTATACGGCTTCCAAACAATCAGTGTTGCGCTTTCTTGCATGACTTTCACGATGTAAAAATCAGGCCAGTACGTGCATAAATAGATTAGATCACTCTAAGCGACTGAGGTAAAACGCAACCGTGCTAATTTTTAGAATCAAATGCGCGCAACAGATGTTGAGCACAGCACTATCACAGAGTGTTCAGATTCACCTTCAGTCTCTCGAAACAACCAGGGAACGTTTTCGAAATAGCTTTGGTATTAAATTTCTATTGATTTTCTTCCTATGCTTGACTCATGCTTACAATTCTTATTACTGCTCTTCACTTGTGTTTCTATTGGTTCCTCGAGCTTGCTCCCTGGCTTTGTTTTGCTTCTGTTTATGCACTGTACATAAACATGATATTCACTTTTACTAGAGATGTTCGACAACCACTACCTCAAATACGACTTAGTACTAGTCTTTGTGTGTCCCTCGGAGCTGGACAAATCATCTTTCTCTCTGGAATAAACGCCACAGAAAAAATGGTGAGTGGCTATATATTATTGGTGGAATTCCTTCAAAGACGTCATTCTTGAACGAAACGTGAAACCAAGAAAAAATGAATTTTCTGGTCTTTCCTCTCCTTTCTTTTGCAGACAGCGTGTATCACATCAGCAGTTCTTATGCAGTATTTCCTGATGGCCGCTTTCTGTTGGATGCTGGTAGAGGGAATTTATCTTTACCTTCGTGTTGTGAAAGTTTATAACATCAGCGACAAGATGTATATTTATCACGTCATGTCATGGGGTATGTTAGTTGTACAATTGTATTTATTATGTTGTTGTGAATTATTTTGTTAACGAACTGTCTCATTTGGATCGCTATATGATTCTAATTTGTGATAGGTTTGCCCGTCATCGTGGTGGCCATTTCATTAAGGATAGCAGCTGGAGCAGCAGATGTGATACAGAGCTACATCAGTGATGACTAGTGAGATTGAATTTTAAAGCTTCTTTTTCTCCCCTCGACCCTTTTGTATACTTTTTTTGTTGAGATTTTGACCTGATTTCATCTTTTATTTCCCCTCTTCATTATCATAGTGAGTCTGCCCTCTATTTTCTTTGATTCTCATAACCTTTTATCCTTTTAGGCCAGCTTCTGACATATGTATTTTTGGTTATAGAACTGTTGCTGTTCATCGTTGTTTTACAATAAACGTTTTATAAGTGAACGTTTAATAGTTTGTCGCACGATGTAAGAGTCAAGCTACTCAATCGTGTATCGATCGCGACATCGAGATCAATAGACGATTTATCAACTTGACTCTTACATCGTGAGAAAAACTATTAAATGTTTATTTACGTATGGTTATTTTCATAGTATGGATGTTACTCTCTGTCTTCCCTGTCAGGAAGATTGGGAAACTGAAATCCACCAGTATTTAAAATTTTTTGCGCTCTTTTTTGATGTTTTTTTTCCTTTTCCTTCTTAGTTGTTGGATGTCCTCAACTAACAATCTGATCTGGATATTTGTCACATTTGTGGTTATCATTGAAGTTGTAAGTTTCAGATTTGAGCCAATATTTTTTCTTTTGACGTTGTCATTTGCGATTCTGGTTTGAGACATAATATATGTAACAGCCCTACCTCAATACAAGAGTGTTTTCATCTCTCCTCTTTCAGATCAACATTTTGATTCTCACTCGAGTCATAAGGGAGATGACCAAAATGCAGCCAAAAGGAGGAAAGCAAATTCAGCAAATACGGTATGAACGATTTCAAAATTACGATTGAAAGACGGAGAGTTTGTGCCGAATATTAGATCAAAATATTATCAAATTCCTACATTTGAGACTTGGTAATATTGATACATTTTTTAATTTTTTAATGATATTCGCTTAACCTTATGGAGAATTCTGATTACCAGAAATATCCTTGAAGAAAAGATACAAATTAATAAATCCTCATATCTCAAATTATCATCCTCCTTCAGACTTGGCATTAGAACATGCGTCGTGATGACTCCCTTGCTGGGTGTCACGTGGTTATTTGGACTCCTTTCGCCTGCACACAAAGCTTTCGCCTACATTTTCACCATACTCAACTCCACTCAGGTGAGTTTTAGTCCTACCACTTTTTTTATCCATTTAAAAACATTTTTGCTAGGGTCAGATGACATCTGCTACGGTAACTACAAAATAAGACGTATTATGATAAAGCTAAGAAAAAAGAAAAAAAAAGAGAAAAATACTTTCTACTGCTTTTTTGTCATTCTCGTAACTTAAGGGGTTATATGGTGTGAGTGATTAAACTTAATTCACTGTAAAATAAAAACTAAAAAGAAAACAAACAAAGAAAACAAAACCTCTCTTTTATCTAACCTGAATTGCATACTGTAAAAAAAAAAATGACACTGAAAACGAGTTCCTTTGTTTTTTAAGGGTTTTCTGATTTTCATTCTTCACTGTGTGCGAAATGGCCAGGTAAGTTTAATTTTAAAAGAATAAATATGGTATAGATAGTGAGGTTTTAAAAATTTACTATACAAGTGTAAAAGGATACACTGGCATGCCTTCTTTTCCTTAGTTTAGAGTAAGAAAAAGAAAGCTTTCAAATTACTTGTTTATCTGAGGATTAAAGAGCGATTCAATAGAAAGATGAGTATCATTTTTCCATCCGAAAACATTGAAAACTCCACAAAGCAGAGCTCACAGGTTAATTCAAATGATATTAATAATATTTGGACAGTTGAATTGCAGTCTTGCAATGAATTTGAGTAGAATTAATCAAGTTAAATAACTAGATTTAACAGAACGAGAATGTAAATTAGTTGTTTAGTGTGATAATTTAGCCTGTGATAGTTGGTCTGTACTGGTTCTTCAGTTTCGATTTTTCGCTTAAGTTAAGTAGTTCCGATCGCATCGTTGGCTTAATGGGTGAGTCTAAAGTATGTACAGTCAGTAGCATTTACGCATTTACGTTTTTTAAAGATTTAAGGTAGATCTATGCGCTCTATTAGAGTTTTTTTTCTTTAAAATTATGTAATGCTGAGACTTTCGTACGTATTAGGGAACGTATTTATGAGCTGTAAGATAAATTATTTTGAAGAATAGGGTTCATTCATTGTAAGTACCTTTTTTGTACTTTATTCATTGTAAGCAGTCTGTCCCTGACATATGGTTGGTTTTTTTTGTTCTGTTAATGATTGCGCTTTGAAGGTTGCAACGATCTTGTCAAGATGCTACGGTATTTCATAATTTTATAAAATTAAATTTGTCTGAAAAAAGTTGCACGCTTAACACTGATAGCATTTCATTGTCTTTTCTTTGATTTCTCGTGCACAATTTCTTGCTGACATTTACTGATGACGTCATATTTTACTACTTTTTGAGCAGATATAAGAAAGCATTGAAATAACAATCTCTGTCATGCTTGGGCAATAGTAGTGTTTTCAACTGGCTTTTAAAGGTTATAATAAATAAATGGAAAAATAAATAAGTGAATAAGTAATTAAATGACTAAAAACAAATGAATGAATGAATGAATAAGATATTCAACGGATCAGTTGCTTTTGTTGAAACGTATCTTCCTCGCGTAACGAGACACTTAGTACGCTCTAAAATTACAATACCGTTTCGATCATGCTCTTTGGTTTAAAATGTCCCTCAGGAGGAGTCGTTCGGCTGAGTTTATCCTTATGAAGAGGAATGCTGTAAACGCCCTGTCATTATAAATCAAAACAGCTTGACGGCTTAGGATTACAGAAACTGATATTTTAGAGGGAAGGGGTTTAAAATATATCCATCCCCACCCTCCCGCCTCAAAGTGTTTATATGAGGCCATAGAAAGAGATCAAAAGTCTCGTATCGCGAATGTTTGATGTAGCTCTTATATGTCGCCAATTTAAGACTATTTTCGCATTTCCAATGACCTCTTTCCCTAACCCTCCCCCCTCGTAAAAGACCAACTACGCCCCTCTATCTTGTAAACAGACGAGATATCGGAGCTTTCTCACGATATCTAAAGGATATACCGCTCCATTTTTTCAAAATCAAAACACCTGTTTCAGAGTACCCTTAGGTTTTTAAAAAATTTTCAGAAAGTATTTGGGAAAAAAAGAAAGGACACATAAAATTTTAATAATGACGGTACAGTTGGAACATTTTCGCAAGAGCAAAGGCTCCCATCGTAATATCGAAAAGTTCCGTCAATTTTTCCTGTGGCTGATCTTATACGAATAACATTTCTAGAAATTATTACAGAAGATTCGGAAAGACAGATATGTAGGTATAAACACGATTAAATGTTTCGAGGAGCGCTAAATTGTCTTACAAAATTTTGCCGAGTTTTATGATGGCTGAAAAGTATCTTAAAGAGATCTTTTTTTTTAGTGGCATTGCAAATAACATTAATGCGGTATCGCATCTGATGACAAAAGCCTAAGTGATATCCATAAGTGCATCAGGGATTTGGCAACACGTTTAAATAAAGATGGATCCTCCTATTGTGTTTCTAACCAGAGTTACATGGGGGACGGAAAGACCAGTTACATACCTATTTTTCCTACATGTGAGTTGATCTTCTATCACTTAGGACACAAATGTGTGGAAAATATTCATGGGAAAGGTAATATAGAAGATCAAGATCTCTTCCAGCTCCTGCGTCTCCACTGTTCTCCTCCAATTCGGTCATCTTCATTCATTTTTTCCAGATGCTAATGAAGAAAAACTACTAAAATAGAGCATTAGAGTGCTTTTCTATTGAATGCCGTAAAACCCCAACCAACGTAAATACAACAGCCAATCAAAAGATAGGAAAATACCAATAAGAACCCAAAGTAAAAACAATTAAACTTCGAAAGAAAGCAAGAGAAAGCGAGAGAAAACGCGGCCGACCAAGATGTGATTGGTTTTACTTTTGCATCTGATCAGTTGAGACACCTTTCTGGACCATTCTCAGTGAAAAGTAAAGTAAAACAAATGGAATCCCGGATTGCTTTTGCCACTCAATTGATGGATTCTCTTAAAAGTAAAGGTAGCTTCTATTCCAATCCATTTACATTTGGTAATTAATGCAAGTACAATGTCGAAACTACTCAGATGTGACGAGCAAAACCGTGGAAAACCACGCACGTCACAGGAACCAAATATTGCGAAATTTACTTTGAACCTGGCTGGATTAGTTTGTAAGGAAATGCGCGAACAAGGGATGCCGACCAAATTTCAACCCATAATGAGGCGTGCTACAGGTTGACTGGATGGCAGTAATCCAACATTGGCTGAAGGCGCAGTTAACAGAAGAGTTTGCTTCCGATATACTAGTTTGTGTTACGGTACTGCTATTTATCAGTTTAAGCAATATAACAGAAATACTATTAAACATTGTGCAATTAAGTCTTGAAAAAAAAAAAAAGCACATGACAAAGTAATCTGGAGAACTTTATAATCAATTTACTTTATCAACTACAGTAGAGATAGACTAAGAAAGGTTTAAAAATCTTAAGCTGCGTCTGCAAGAAAAGTGTCAACAAATCGACATGTCTAAGGAGCCCAGGACTAATTAACTACCTCAGCCTCCCTGCGAAGACTCGAAATTTCACTTTCACAAAACATGTGAATAAGTAGATGATGGATGCTAATACAATATAATGAGAACGATGTTTTAATACAAGCAATTTTTCCCCAGTTTAAAGCAAAATGAAATGAATAATTGATTCCTTTAATCAAGAAAAGGAAAATAACAAGTGAATCAGAAGGAAACGAACAGTGAGAGAGAGAACTCATAGCTGCCGGCCAGATGTCTTCTGAATATATTTTTAAACAGCTTTTCCGCCAAAAATGTTAATTCATTTTACTTCAGGTCCAAACTCAGTGGTCTTCATAACAGGAGGATAAAGGGAAAGTAAAGGAGAAATATCAGGGAAAAATTCAATCGCAAAATTTTCAATACATATCGATCGCTCACTTAAGGATGGTTCTGACTCGTCGCTTTTCAGTTCTGCTAATGCTGTGCCAAATGTTCTCCGGACTAATTGCAAAGCAGTGCAGTCGTCAAGTTTCCGTGTATGGAATGATGCTTCAACGATACCTCTTCCTGATAGTTGAGACCTCTACCACATTTGAGTGTCCTACGGCCTGTAACGACGAGGAAAGATGTCAAAGCTTCAACTACGTCGTTTCCAAGAACATCTGTGAGATGAATAACCGCACTAAGGAAGCCAGACCTGAAGACCTCGTCCCTGACTCTGATCGGTATTATTATGGAAGAGTTAGAAACAGAGGTTTGTTATTAGTAAGAAAAAGAGAGAAAGTAAAACATTTCGAGAGAGAGATGCTGACCTTTCTGCTATCGCTGAAAGCAAGCTTTGGACAATATTTTTTACTGTTATTTGTATCCTCGAACAGAAAGTTGATCTCGACCCTAAAAGTTATCTTTTAAGTATGTTTTGTTCAACTGGAATGTTTTATTCGTTATCATTATCTAAATATTTAAAAATTTCTTATGCATTTATATATTTATCTGTTTCTCTATTTGTTTGTATTTTCTGATCAAAATCCTCTACTTTTTTCCTCGTTTAAGTTCTGTGAATCATCCAAAACTGTCAGTTTCTTCTTTCAGAAACGTTACTATAATCATCTTTTTATCATTTTCAGTTCCACTGGGATCCATTCCGGAGCTTCCCGCTGAATCGTGTAAAGAAATAAAAGCCAGTGAGGGAGAACAAGCGGTCAGCGGCAACTACTGGTTTAAAGTTAATCTACTTAATTATGCTGTTTTGGTTCACTGCGATATGAAAACGGAAGGTAAAGCATAAACTTGCAAAGTGAAATCTAAATCAATCATCATTCATTCTTTAATTCACTGATAAATGCAACCATTTATTTTCCTCACTCACTCGTTCAATTTCTCCCTGAATGAATGCAGGTAATGTTCAGTTTTGTTCCTTTCTTTAAAATAATAACAATAATAATAATAATAATAATAATAATAAGATGGTTATGGGATTTAGTAGTGGAAGTAGCCCTTCTTTGAAAAGTTGGTTTTTATGGAGGGAGGAAAACCAGAGCACCCGGAGAATAAATTTGCGTAGCAAGGACGAAAACCAACAACAAACTCAACCCACACGTGACACCAGGTCTGGAGAACAAACCTGGGCCACAATGTTGAGAGTCGAGCACTCTCAGCACTGCGCCATCCCGGCTCCTCCAGAAAGAAATATAATTTTGAATTAATTGTTTACGTTACAACTGCTATTACATTTGTGCTACAGATATTGACGAGTGCACTCATGGAATTCATGAGTGTCTCAACGAATCGGCAAACTGTTTAAATACGGTTGGATCGTACAACTGTGTTTGTAAAGATGGTTACCAAGGCGGCGGAAAAACCATTTGCACACCAGAGGGTAAGTAGTTTGACAGCATAAAAGTTATAAATTGTGACGATGAAGAGCTTTAGTTTTGCTTAATAGTTTTTTTCTTTTCCATAACTATTTAGAATGTATAAGCTACTCACTTCTGACCAGTGGAACAAGGAAAACCACCTACGACACACCCCAGGGAAGAGAATCTTGCGACAACGACCTCAGTGCGGACTGGTTTCGTTTCAAAGGAGATGCAGGAACGAAGATGCCAACCAAATGTGTACCTTACAAAAAAAAAGGGCACTGACTCTACGGGTTGGCTAGACGGTTATCATCCAACAGTAGCTGATGGAAAGGTCAGCAGGACGGTTTGCTTTCGGGGTCGTACAGACTGTTGTAAACATCCAGTTTATATTAAAGTGAGAAACTGTGGATCTTTCTATGTTTACCAACTAACGCCACGAACATCCTGCAACCAACGCTATTGTGGCACTGACTGATAATTATGCTAGGATCAACCACAGACAGATCCAAAAAAAACAGAGACTAAGTGAAGAGGGGGTAGGAAGAAATGAGGTGGTATCGTAATTTGATCTCAGTCATTGATAAAGACTTAATAACGTCAACTCAGAAGGACTTATTTTTATTTCAGAGGTCATTTACCGTGATAACATTTATTTATTACCCAAGGCAGGAAAGCTCTTCAAATCACATATCGATTAACTTCTCTTTTGTGAGAACGCTTGACTATGGATAATTGAAGTGGATGTAAAATATGGATGAAATCAGATAAATTCCATTTCTTCTAGAAATGCACGGCATGTATTATCAAACCTCCTACTCTGAAAATGTGCGGTTTTAAATTGACGACATATTTGCAAAGTATGTAGATATGCTATGAAATAAATGTACCCACTTTTTCCTGCCGATGATTACAAATTCAGTCTCAAATAGAAAAAAAACAATTTCAGTGCTGAATTATTCATGAGTAGCATAAATTGTAGTCATGTTCTCAGTTGAAATGATTCAGACTTTGGCTTTTTTTCGGCAACAATTACGCACAGGCCTAAAGGGAAAGGTTTACACTCTTTGTTGGTAATTATTTTTGACCACCGTCGCGCACCCAGCAAATTCTTAAACTACAATTTTATATCTTTTTACGAATACCATTGCCTTTTTAAAGAGACACTTCTGTGGAATTTATAAGTATTTTTCACTGAGTTTTGTAAGCTCCTGTGTAATCAGTAGATTCTGCAGGAGTGTTATGGAACAAATTTTATCTTGGAAAATAAAAAAATTACATGAGAGAAGTTTAAAGGAACATGTTGACAACAGGGAAAAGGAAAGAATAAACTTAAGATGGCTGATCAGGAAAAACAGGACACTTTGATAAAGCTTAAAGAAATGTTTATCACTGACTTTTGTACTGAGAATCGCATAACAATGGAGATAAAGCTTTCTTTTTCTAAAGGATTGCTTTGTTAGGTGTAACACTTAGAAAACCGTGGAGACTTTGGGAAATAAGCCTTTGTTTTGCAATAAGCAGCTGGAATCTCTCACGTAGAAACGTGCTCATCAACGCAATGTACCCAACATCGCTGCCATCAATAACGAGGAAGTGGTGATGAAAAGACCACAAAAGATCATTTTAAAACTTTATTTCCAAACATTTTTTGATTCTAAAATAATTATAAAATTAACCACCAAAGGAGAAAAAACGAAGCAGGTCAAAAATGAATAGATGATCAACATTCAAATATAGCAGAAATAGGGATTGATCATACTTCTGTGAAGCGTATTGCGAAAATAACTACCTCTGTCTCTTGGAGAGATCCTGCATAGTGATCTCTACTATTCAGTTGCTTATATAGAAAATCTTAGCATGGTCACTTACCGATTTGTTAATCTTTTACCATGACGATTGGTTGCGATATTAGCTTTATATTAAAAATAAAATATCAACGAACTTCGATAACTTCCAAGGCTATATTACTTTCTGAAACTTTACATAACTTATTCTAATACTTCGTTTCTTGAAAATTTTCTGCTTAAAATTAATTACACCAATATAGTAATGAATCAAAATCAATTAAAATTCCAGCTTTAACAACTTTTTGGTGTTTAATAAACTTAATAAACCGTAACTCTCAAAAACCAAAGAGAGCAAACTTTCGACATAAATTATTTATAACTGTGCAGGATAACTTGGATGTAGTGCATCAGTTGAAATGATTGATGACTGGACACTACAAGCACAAGGTTTCTTATTCAGTGAAGTCGCAAATATCTGTTTCCAATCAAGACACCTAAAGCAGAGGTCGTTTGAATAACCCCTTATCATTTACACGAGCGTACTATTTTACAAGACTTTCTAAAAATGATTCTAATTCCATTGCTCCATGTCATTTGCACTGCGGTCGCTTTGGCTTCTGCTAAGCCAGAAGGTGAGGCACTCTCATCGTTTTTCGTTTTCAGTAATTTTGAAGGTCTAGACATGACGCGATTGTGCAGAAATTACACCTGGTTTCCGTGAAAAATTAAACCTTACAACTGACACACTGTTACTTGCGGTACCACATGAATGACGTAAATAGCCCCAAGCATTCATTCGTGTTTCCTAATACTTGAATAGTAACGATTTGTAATTCTGGCTAGAGAGAAGTATGTCATCGTTGTCGCTTTGACACTGGCTGCTTCAAGCCAATACTACTTTACCTCATGACTTTTCATGGTCTTTGCAGAAACATGTCGCATCATTCAGTTCGTGCGTAAAGTAAACGAAAAGGCTCTTGAAGGTCACACGATTACAACGATTAATTCGAACAAAGTCGACTTTTGTGAGACGCGGTGTTTCCTTAACCATGATTGCGTCTCTTACAACTTTGGGAAAAAAAGGGAAATAACTGTTCACCACAAATAATTGCCTCGTTATCCAACAAACTGGTTAAGATTTTTTTCTTTCAATTCAGTTACCCTTTGCAAATCTATTGTGTTCACAAATATTGATGATTGTAACGATGATGTTTGTGATGGTAATGCAAATTGTACCAACACTAATGGTTCTCATAATTGCATCTGTAAGGAAGGATACATTGAAGATGGACAGTCTTGCCAATGTAGATTAGAACGGCGATACTTCACGCCGAGCAAAGCAACTTTCCATAATAAGTATTTTCTTCGTAACTGAGGTCATTTCAAGAGCCGGAAACGTAATGATTTTCAGGCCCCGACCACGTATTTCTATAAAGTTATGGGTTTCATCATAAGTATACATACACATTTTTCGACAATACGCGTAGATATTTTACGAGTTGCTTAGTATTTTTTCGAGTCCGGAAGGAACGACGATAAATAAGAGCAATGAACAAGATCTCTTCTCGTATTGTATAATAAACAATCGAATGAGGGATTCATCATTCCAACATTACCTGGAATATTTTTCTCGAATATGACGTCACGTTCGGACGCTCGGATAGCTAACCCCCCTCCCCCCCCACCATCTCCTCCCTTATTTTTTTAATAGTATAGATACAAGGAAAATATGTTTCTACTGCCACACATTTTAAAAACTTTTCAACCCTCAACAACAGCGCGATCAGTACAACAGAGTAATTTTATTTTGCACACCAGATTTTTTCTACTTTCATGTGCTTGCAGAGTTCCTTTATGTATTATCCATTCTTTTGACTTTTGCCCTATTGCTGAAGTAACTTAAGAAGCGCCCCTCTCGACTAATTTCGGCTAATGTAATTTAACTCTGTAGGCAATCCGTGTTAAAATTACAAAACCTGAGTAATGCCATTAGAAAGAGCAGTTACTCAACACCGGTACGCGGACTAGCCTTTCTATCAGGGGTGGTGGGGGTGGTTAAGGCATTTTTCTTTGACTGCCAAAGTTTTGGAATTAATCATACATGTTACTCACCGGAGAACTCCTAAAACTTGCATTAGTCTTTAATTCTGAGAGATTCTTGAGGTTGCGTCATTGTGAAAAGAACTGTGAACGTAGAAGTAGAGCGCGATACGTATTGAGATAGGGAAAAAACAAAGAGAATATACTTTCATTCCTGCAAACCTGTTTCGAGACCACTCATATATAACTCAAGGGTGTTATACATCTATATAATAAGCTCAGTTATGCACGCATTCTGATTGGTTCTCACTTATGATCTATTGGAGGACAGACGTATAGATGACGTCATCATTAAAACTTTTTTAGTGTGTCACATCAGTGACACACTCAGCTGCGCCCTGTGTGCCACTTTTTTGTTCTTCCCACATTTTGACGTCATCTGTGATCTATTACTGAACAGACGCACGGCAACTTGGAATCTATTTGAAAAATATATTTATATATCTAATACATATATAAATTGAGTTCGGGGAAAAACAAAGAGACAAAGAGCCTGTTTTGTGATTACATCACTCTTATGTCGTGATTAAAACAACGATAAAATTTTTCTTTCACAATTATTATTCAACTTTTTAGCCGATCCATGTTATAATTACCACAACCTGAGTGATGCCAACAGAAAAAGCAATTACGTTACACCGCTCCATGATTCAGTGTTTTGTGACGAGAAACTCACCGTGGGATGGTATCGTTTTGTGGGAGCTGCAGGAACTAAAATGCCAACAATACGTGTACCAGCAAACAGATGTGGTGCAAACTGGTCAGGATGGTTGGATGGTGCTCATCCTATAGTGGAAGATGGTGAATTTTCCAGGACGGTCCGCTTTAGCAATCGTCCTACAGGTTGCAAATACTCAATCGAAATTTTAGTCAAAAATTGTGGATCATTTTACATCTACAAACTTGCTTAGCCCCCTGGTTGTACTTCGCGTTACTGCAGCACGGACTAAATCTGAGTCTAATAACTCCACAAAACGAGACAAGTTATAAAAAGATCCTTGTGAACAATGTACTTAACGACTTACAGTCCCCTCCCTATCGTAATCGTTAATACCATCGTTTTAACCTAGTGCATACTGGCAAATTTTTACGTCGGTGGCGAATATTAACTTTTTTTTTTTACAGCTTTATTGACCATTACACATATTACATACAGCAAATTAAACAGCCAAGAAAAAAATGAAATATATGTGCAAAGTGATTTAAAGTGATAAGGTCAAAAGGGAAGGTGCGAACGGGACGCGAGGACCCATGCGAGGCACCTCCCACTCCCTCCCCACTCCCTCTCGGTGAGTGGGTAAATATTATATTACATCATTTAAGACTTCTTGCCTGAAAAAATGATAAGCGAAAACTTTCAAATCCACCTAACTATAACTTTGTACATTATTTAATAGCGTTCAACATTTTTGACAAGTTGCTCTATTATTTCATCAAGAGCTTTATCACCATTGGATTAATTATCCTATTGCAGTAATAGGATAAACAAAGAACACTTGCCCGAAAAAAATCAAGCTTAAAAAAATAACAGTTAGTTTGTAGACAGGTTGGATCTTTCGATATCTACAAACTTGCTAAGTCATACGCATGTAATTTGCGTTTCTGTGCCTCGAAATAAACTGACTAAATAATTCGCCTTAGTGTTATAACATTAGTTACGTGGACCTCTTGCTAACAAATTAAGTATTAAAAAAAAAAGATAGAGACAGACATGCATGTAGAATATTCCTTTTCGAATGTCTCAGTCCAGTAGCTTTAGAGATAAAAGCTGAACAAGGAAATCCAGAATGCCTTTGGTTATCGCCAAGTACTTATATTTTCTTGAAAAAAATATTGATTTAAGTCTGTGACTCTGTGTTACCTCGAAAATAATTGAGATTTAAGGACACGTGATAAAAAGCTGAGTAGTATATTCCATTTATCATTAGCAGTACCTTCTGTATTTGTGGGGTTCAAAAATGTTTCGGCTTTATAACAAAATATTCCGTGATAAAAGCCATGTGTCAAAGGTGGTCTGCCATCCGTAGTCAATTTGCTATGTAATCACGATTATACTGTGACAGCTATGAATTTGAAGCAAAAGTTTAAGTTAAAACCATTGAAAATAACTTTGGTTTGCACAAATCTGGTGCTCACATCCTTTTGAACCCATGGTCATCAGCGGATTACACCGTAATTTCGGTCCCAGACTCCCGTTCCCCGTTCTCCTTTCCTCATTCTCCGTTCCTCGTTCTCTGTTCAGAATTCTCCGTTTCTTGTTCTCCGTTCCCCGGTCCTCGTTCTTCGTTCTTCGTTCTCCGTTCTCCGTTCTCCGTTCTTCGTTCCCCGTTCTCCGTTCCTAGTTCTCCGTTCCCCATTCTCCGTTCCTCGTTCTCCGTTCCCGCTCTGAGTTTACCGTTCCCTGTTCCTCGTTCCTCGATCATCGTTGCCCTTTCTTCGTTTCTCGTTGAAGTAACATCCTACTACTGCTATGGCGCAATAGTCAGTTCAAACAGCGATTTCTGAAACATCTTAGTACCATGGGCGCTTTTTTAATGCTCAGATTTAACTTGAATCGAAAAAAGTTTTAGACTGGTTTACACCCGGTGGAGTTTACTAACGGGCTGGTGCGAATCCTGTCAGCTATTTGGGTGCAACAGCAGGAAAAAAAGATCAAATTTCGTAGCCTAGAACCCCTTCCGAATCATGAACCTGATGAAAAATTTCAAGAGAGTCAGCCAGTCAGCCGTGTGTTCTTAAATTGGTTGATCATGAAAAAAGGAATTTTTTTTTCGTAAGTTCTGTTTTTTTTTTTAAAATTTCGTTATGTAAAATTGTAGTCGATTTTTAGCTTACCAGTCGATTCGTACCAGCTCGGAACTTTCGCACTCAGGATAATTTTTTATTATCTACTGAGTTGGTAACGAAAATTGGTTCCCATGAAGAGTTTAAAAGCGTTTCGAGCGTTAGCCCTTCGTCCAATCGCTCTGACGAAGGGCTAACTCTCGAAACGTCAGCTTTTAAATTCTTTGCGGTGGCCAATTTACGATATCAACTTAGTTGATAATACTTGATTACCCTGTTATACTCCCAATCGACGCAGCACCTGAGTTTCTTTAGAAACTTAACACCTATATCCTTTCGTACTCAGTCAGTTTAATCGCTTAAAGTCCAAACAAATAAAGTTTTTTTACAACACTTTGACCCATAATTTCTCTTTACAATATCACCCCTGAATCAAACATGAATGTCAAAAAGAAAATGATCGCCTACAAAAGAAACTCTTGAATGTTAAGCGAATTCTCTAAGTCAACTCTGTAGGTAATATATATCTAATGGTATGGAAAATATGTATACTGATGTTATCTATACTTTTGACATCAGAAGAGCTTAGAAGAGCTTACGGAAAAAAGGGGGGGATTAAATCTTAGGAATAGGGTTCTGCCCTCACCAAAAAAGTACAAGAGGACGGTAGATACATAATGCAAATAACAGTTTCATGGTAGATATCGAATTTGGAATACGTATTCTAGTTATGAGCTACTTTTTACCATGTTTTCTTAAAGTTTACTGAGCCACCGGCGACTTGACCTTCAAACAATGACACAGAAATGAAGCGGAAGCAATCATTAAAGGATGCAAGTTGTCTAACTACCTCATCGCGGTACAAGTGAGGGTTGATAGCCCGCCCCTTCTCCGCACTCCCTACTTTTTTTTTAAAGAACAATAAAGCACTCTTTACGATCGAGCCACCAGGAACTTGAATCTCAAAAGAAAAAAGAAAAAAAAGAACAAAGGAATAAACGAAAAAGGCGTTTAAGCTGACTAAGTACCCCTTTACCCACCCCTTTCCTTGGTTTTGGTTTTTCTTGCTCTTTGAAAAGTTTGGATGGGCAGTTACGAAAACTAAACTTAGAGGAGAAATTGCTGATTAATCGCGTTGACATGCTTATGAGGGTGTGATATCGTCAAAGGTGGTGACGAAAGCCACTGGCTAGATTTCTAAATCCGCCAACAGGCCATTGAGTTGAACACATGACGGAACCAAACAACTCGAACGGAAATATCCGTGTTATTAAATTTTCAACCTTGGATATTTCATCTCTGGTGTTAAAAGTTTTTTGCATTTGCATGAAAAAGGAACGACTGGAACGATGTCAACGGCAATTCGGAAATGTTTTCAAAGAAAGATAATGATTCCTTTTGGCAACCTTAATGCATGAGCAATTCTTGCACGTTTAAGGCTTACAACTAATACCCATCGTCATGCACCCCTAAAATCATCGATCATCGTTGCATGAATCTGCTGCGGATTTAAAAGTGTCATCTACAGTGGCAAAGCAGGACTTGATCTAAACCCTAACCCAGCGCAAGATGGACGATTTATTACTTTATTCATTAAGTGTAAATAGTTGGCACAAGTAAATCGCACACAAACAATAGAATTGAATCAAGATGGCGGCGGCGGCAGGACAAGCCCACAGGTTCGTTCTCTCATCGGTAACATCACTTCAACTTATTAACTTGATACTTGCTCTATTGCCCTTTCGATGTGACTTTGAAATGGTTCATCTGCACAGCACTGAAAGTAAGATTGTCTGGTTCCAGAAGCACCTGAAGCCTATGTTCGCTGTTCTCCAAAGTCAAAGTCCCTTATTATTCAAATCCCACCTCGTCCTTTGCCATCAACCGCATGACTCAAAGTCCAGGCAGGAAACTACAAGTCATTCCTGATGTGCACGGCTTATAAGCCTCTTTCCACGACTAAAGGTTACTTTGATGTTATTTCTGCTATTCATATCTTAGGCGACCTGAACTACATTCTTCTAAAGTCATCTGATCCTGCTTTACAAGCTCTCATCAACTTCTGTATTGCACTTAATTTAACTCAATTGATAAATCAGCCTACAAGGATCACTGAGTCATCTGCAACTTTGATGAATGTCATCCTCGCGTCGAATAAAAACCTAGTAAGAGATACAAAGGTCATATCTGTTTCTATTAGCGACCACTAGTTAGTTTATGCTGTTCTTAAACTTCGGCGACAACGTCCCAGGTAGGTATACCTTACGAATAAGAATTTCAAGAATTATCAACATAAGTCTTTTCTCCAAGATATTTCTCAAGTCCCTTGGTCTGCTGTCGACTGTTTTGACAACATCGAACATAGCCATAATGCGTTCAATCTTTTATTCAAAGAAGTCCTGGATGAACACACACCAAAAAAAAAAGTTGAAATTACTGAGCCAACCAAACTTGTATATTACGGACAAGGTAAGAGAACTTATGAAAATAAGGGAGTATTGGCGGAAGTCAGCGAGAAGAACCGGCGATCTAGACGCTTGGATGAAATACAGGAGTCTTAAACGCAAAGTTAAGAGGGAAATTAGACAGACAGAACGCGAGTCCATAGCTGATCAAGTAAAAGTGATCATGTATTCCTAAGACGTCTACTAGCCAGAGATCGTTTAGCGGGGATGATAAGACGGTAGCTGACGAGTTTAATCGTTTCTTTACCTCGGTTGGACATGCTGATAAAATTAATTCACTCGTTTTGTCAATGTAATTACGACCTCTCAAAGCCAACTTTTGTTCCATCGAAACACCTAAAGGCCAATCAATTCAATTTTAAGACAGTGGAATGCTCACAAGTTTCAGAAGTTGTTCTGTCAATGTCATTAAACAAGTCACTTGGGACTGATAAAATCCCTACTAGCGTGATTAAAGACAGCCTCCCCGCTTCACCTACTAGCGGCATTTTTCCGCGTGCCTAGAAGATGGCTGAGGTTTCACCGATCTTAAAAGATGGCGACCACGAGGAACTAAACAATAACAGCCCCATCTCTCTCCTGCCCATTCTGTCTAAGATATGTGAGAGAATTTGTCTCAGTCAGCTCGTGCTAGAGTTGAAAAAAAAAAATAATCCGGCTACGCCGCATAGTGGTAACAGGAAACATCACTCAACAGAGACTTTACTAATGCGCACTGCTGAAACCATCCTGAGCGGCATAGACAAAAAGAAAGTAACTGCGGTTGTCTTATTAGATACGGGTAAGGCATTTGACAGCATAAACCATGAAGTCTGGTAAATAAATTGCAGTTACAGCAGTTGCAGCAATTTTTCAGTTACGCGAATCTGTTTTTGTTTTTAAAAGAAAATGAAGAAATAAACTCTTACGTGAATTTTTTTAACTTCTTAACATATTGTAATTTTTATAGTATTTTGTTGTAATTTTTATAGCAATTGCATCGTAATTGTATCCTATATATTTTAGTTTGAGACGACGAATACCGAAAAGCCCTCCTGGGGAGAGTTAATGGATTTTTTATCATATAAACTATGGTATTATACAAGGATTTCAGCCCTGAAAAAAGGCGTAACAACTCAAGGGAAAAAATATTTTTTCACGTGTGTTTGACATCGGCAATTAGCTGCTGATACGTCACTCGCCTTTCGCGCCACTCTGTCAGGTTTTTTTTTCACTTTTTCACACTTTTATTTTTCATTTTCTTACACATTACAAGATATTCCTTTGACCCGCGGATAGTAAATGCTAATCGAGGTGAGTCAAATTTGTTTATTTATTTATTCATTTTTTACTGACTTCATTTAATTACACTGGAAATGAAACGAAAATGAAGGAATATAACATAACAGAACAAAAAGATACGCAAAAAAAAAAAAAAAAAAAAAGAAAAGAAAAGAAAATAGAAAAAAAGGATAATGGCAGATGTTCATTGTAAAGGAGAAAAAAATCCTCGCGTTTCTAAGTGTACGAAAAATATTGTAGAACTGGTTTAATTTGATTCAATTTTGCTGTGTTTGAATTTTAGAATTATCTCATCAGACTCCATATAAGAATCTTCAGTTTCTAGAATATTGAGAAGAGCTCTTTTTGTTTCTTTTTTGAAGGATTTCTTTGACAAATTTTTGTATTCATTAAGCATCTCATTCCAGACTTTGACACCAACACGCGAAAAGGCTTTTTTTTGCATTTTAAGCCTAGAGTGCTTAACGCCAAAGAATTGCGACTTTGATGAGCGAATATTATATGTATGGATGTTTGAAGTTCTCGCAAAAAGTTTCGTGATGTTAGAAGGTGCACTGTCGTTATGAACATCAAACATTAATTTACATACCCCTTCATAATATAAGAAAGTAACAGGCAGAATTTTCGCATTTACAAATAAGGGGATTGCATGTTCTTTTCTATCAACAAAGTAGATTAGACGTGGTGCTCGCTTTTGGAGAACAACAATTTTGTTTAGATAGTTTTTTGACGCTTTACCCCAAGCAACGAGTCCATAAGTTAAATAAGGTAAAATTAAGGATTTATAAATATTTGTGAGTACAGGTGATAGAACAAAGTGTCTCAGCTTAGCAATCATTCCTATGGTCTTACTTATTTTAGTGATAACATAGTCCAAGTGGTTTTTCCAAGAAAGATTTTCATCGATCAAAAAACCTAAATACTAGATATAACTCTTATGTTCCAAGCTGACTCTTTTTTTTTTTTCACTATCAAATATACTTTTTCGAGGATGATAAAGGATTTTATTTTGTTTAGGGCGAAAAATTACAAGATTTGATTTTTTTGTATTCAAAGTCAATTTATTTGTAGTTAGCCAGTCATGTAAATTTTTCAGTTCAGCATTGACCGTCTGTTCTAAAGACTTGAGGTCCTTGTCAGCATAGAGAATATTAGTGTCATCCGCAAATAAGAAAAAGTGAAGTTTATTGGAACAGAGGTGAATGTCATTTATATAAAGTAAAAAGAGAACCGAACCCTGAGGGACACCACAGGGAGAAATTAGTTTAGTTGATACGTGCGATCCAATTTAAGTTGTTTGCATTCGATTTGTTAATTACGACTGGAACCACTCGTTGATAATCCCTCGAAAACCATAAAAATTAAGTTATCAAGTAGTATTTTGTGGTTGACGGTGTCAAAAGCCTTTTTTGAGAGAAATAATGCTTATCCATATTGTTCTGTAAAGTTTCGACAATATCAAGGATCGCATGATCTGGGGAGTGTGCCTTACAGAAGCCATACTGTGAGGAATGTATTAACTTATTTTTGTCAATAAAGTCCTTCATTCTGTAATACAGTAGCTTTTCAAATATTCTGTTAAAACTTGACAAGAGAGAAATTGGTCGGTAATTAGAAGCATCAGTCTCGTCTTCACTTTTAAAGATAGGTGTGATTTTGGAGATCTTAAGTTTTGATGGGTGAACACCAGACGTAATAGAAGTATTGAAGATGTTCGAAACGACAGGAGATAAAATATTGCACGAACGTTTAAAAAATTGCGTAGGACAAGAGTATAAACCATACGATTTTTTGTTTGGTAGTGATATAATTTCTTGTTTAACGTCATCTGGGGAAATCGGTTTGGAAAAAAAGGAAGAATCAGGTTATTTTAATTTCTTGAGATAATCCATATGATTATGGTTTGGTTTCAGGTTGATGAATGAACGGCGAAGCCTTCATCAATCTCAATCCAAGGTCGTTTGTCGGAATTTTTTCGGATTATGGCTGCTAAAACATTAGAAAAATCCGTATCGCTTACAGACAGTGACGTTCAAACTTACCTGGAAGGAAAATAAAACCAAAATACTGAAAGAAAAACCCGAAAGTTACGTATTCAGTAGCTTTGGTAATGGTATTTCGACAACTGAAATATTTTCCACAGGCTGACTTATATTGTATTGTTTTGTAACCTCCTCCTTCTTGAAACTCTCTCCACTTCCCATGCCCCTAGCCAGTTGATAACTCGCGCTGGGTTGACGCGAAAGTTATTCCTGTTATCGTTTTCTTTCTTTTCACTTTCTTTTAACGAGGCGGCTTCTAGAGTCCTGCAGTTAGTCGCTACTTGGATATACGTAACGGGGAGTGATCAGCCCGCAACAAAGTGCAGAGTTTTGTCAACGTTTCGAGGTTTTGAAGATTTAAGATATGGGCACTAAAAGAAAGAAAGGAAGAAAGAAAGAGGAAAGAGGAAAATGAAAGAAAGCGAGAAAAAAAAAAGGGATAGGCAAGGAAAACTGCTATCCAGTTATTTTCTTTGGACTAGGGAAAAGAAACCAAGCTCTTAACGAACTAGAAAATACCTAAAAGCAAGATGTGGCTAGCTACATCATTAATAGTTACGAAACTGAAACTCGAAACTGAAAGCCACGCCGACAAACAGACTTGTAGAATTACGAAAGATTCTGTGTTTACCATTTATGATCATAAGCTAAAACTTCGAATAAAGGGTATCGTCTAATGATTTTTTCACGCCAATAACTTTGTTTTTCAGCATCTTAAGAGTGAAGTAAATCCTGCATCCATGCCTAGAGATCTCATCTGAGATGGCGTCGTGAGAAAACGAGACTCTTTGGATCATATCCATCCAAAACCTGCAAATCTTGAGGAACAACTCTCCATTACGGGAACCAAAGATCTATTGACAGCTGCCAATCGTCTCCTAGATCCCACCGAAGAGTTATGGTCATTTTGGTTGCTATTACAGTGGCAATTCCGCAATCATCGCGGCACTGTACATTGGAAAATACGTTTCGGAATACCTTATAACAGGAAAGGTAAGTATTGATGTCCCTCAATTTTTGCTATTTATTTAGAAGTCAACCATAAAAAAAAACAACATATTTGAACAAAAGATAGAAGTGGGTCGAAATTCCAGCACATCGATGTGCCATTGTCGATGTCCTAGTAGTAGAAATTAATCATCTCATTTTCACATAAAGCTTAAAGCTAGCGCATATATTAATCAATCGATATATGGACAAGACGATAAAGTAAATATTCAGTTTGATCATGTTAATGGTAAGCCATTAAAGAAGGAAACACGTAGGGGCACTTTCGTCCGCGCCGTCCAAACCCTGCCAGATTAATTTTTCAAATTCGACATCAAAGCTTCGTAAATTTAAAAAAGAAACCAATTTCTACAAAGTAAAAATTTAAAGCTGGCGTTTTTGTCCTCTCATCGATGTTAGAGTAAGAGCGTTAAGTTTAAAATATGCTTTGAAAAACAAAGAGGCAAGCAATGCGTTGACAGAACATGTACGAGCACATAAGTGGATGCCGTGACCGTAGCCTTTTTAAGAGACTTAAAAGCATTCTAGCGCAAAATTTCAATTGTGTAGTGTTATCTAACTGTTTGAATTACTCAGTGGGTAACCAAGCGTGCGTTTCTTGCAACGGCTTCTAAATACAACCAAAAGTTACAAAGTGGTCAATAATGAGCTGATAACTATTGTTCCAGTTATTGTCCTGATTCATAGTTTCATCAGTTAGCTTTAGAGTAGTAATAAATTAGTTCTTTTATGGAGCCTGGGAAAATATCTACATCATTCCACCCATTTTGAAAGGAATCGTGTACAGTTTAATTTTGGGATCATTTGCGATCCGGACTAACTTTTTACTAAAACGTTTTTAAAACTTTTTTAAAAACTTGCTTCACTCTCATACGCGCTTCATATGACAGCAGCAGGAGTTTATACAAGTAGGCAAATAAGCTTGCTTAGATATGCATGGTAGATACAATGTCTATTTTCGACCTGTACGCAAAATGTGAAGAAACCGGAAAGGTATCTACGAGGTGTGACAAAAGTTTTGTACATGGGTGACATTTTTGAGACGTTATATGTAAGAGTATGTGTTGTGTATGGTGGTCACAGATTTAGAAATAAATCTACGAGCTGAGTTCTAATAAGTTTTTCACACGAATTTCGATTCTTCAGTCCAAGTTATTTTGATGTTTTAGGCAGAAATATGGGAGCTCTTTATCATTTAGTATCCATCTTAATATTTCGTCAGTCCTTCTATTCCTCACTTGTCGGGAACGTTTCACTTTAATGGCGTCTTTCAAATGTAGGGTGTCACGATGACAAATGGCAAGTTCACTTGAATAATTTGCATTTTCCTTGTTTAGGCCGGAAAGGAGATTTTGTTTAAATATTTTGTGTTCTTTAACTCTAGATTGCACTGAATTATAAGTTCTTCGGACAAAAATCAGGCCAAAACAATGTCATATTTCCTCCCAAGGTTAAAGTTAAAATAAATGTCTTGTACGCCCTTGTCTTGTTCCTCTATTATGCTACATTTTTAAACATGTAAGCGACATAAATGCGAACTGTACTAGCACTGACGGCTGCCACAACTTCACCTGTAAGGAGGGATACACTGGGGACAGACAATCATGCCGAGGTATAATCATTGCATTAGACTTAGCAAATGGCAGTATAAAGTTTCCCACATATAAAAAGATTATTTCCTTTAAAACTCAGAAATTTGATGTTTGTCTCTCTGTCAAGTAACGTTTTGGCACGGTTAAAGTTAAAATTAATGTCTTTACGCCCTTGTGTTGTTCCTCTGTTAAGCTACCTTTTTCTACATTACTTTTGTCCCCAGGCATCGACGAGTGCAGCACTGGAAGCTATGTATGTGACATAAATGCGAACTGTACTAACACTGACGGCTCCCATAACTGCACCTGTAGACGGACAATTATGCCAAGGTATAATTTTTGCATTAGACTGAGCAAATATCAGAATAAAGCCTCGCGCAAATAAAAAGAAAAACCTCTTTCCTCAAAAACTTAGAAATATAATGCTTGTTTCTCTGTCAAGTAACCTTTTGGCAATTAATTTTTTTCACAGATGTCATTGAGTGTAGCGATGGCAACCATGTTTGCCATGTTAATTCCAACTGTAACAACACAAATGGTTCTCATATTTGTACCTGCAAAGAAGGATACACTGGAGATGGACAGTCATGTCAAGGTGAATAAGAGTAGCCTACACTATTTAAAACGAGCAGCTTTAAACATAAGCTATCGCTCATGGAAATTGGCCCACGTTTTAGAGACCTGTCTTCACGCACCACTATTGTATTTCTATTAAATTACCTTTTATACATTACTTGTGTTTCTAGATATGGATGAATGCAGCAATGGAAGCCATGATTGTGACGTAAATGCGAATTGCACCAACACTAATGGCTCATATAGCTGCACCTGTGAGGAAGGATACACTGGAAAAGGAGAGTCATGCCAAGGTAAAATTAGATTAGACTTTGAAAAAAGCAGATTAACTGTGTATCACAAATAATTGTCTTGTTATCCAACAAACTGACTAGGAGCAATGAGCAAGATTTTCTTCTCGTATTATATGATAAACCGTCGAGTAAGGGATTTATCATTTCACCATTACCTGGGATATTTTTCTCGAAAATGCGGCCATGCTCGGATCACACCCCCCCCTCCCCCCACCAAAAATTTCCGTCTTTCTTGCACTGTCTCCACACAGGACGCTTACTACATTGCTGATACTAGAGGCATGTTCTTTACTCGTTACAAATCTTTACCATATCTCTCAACCGAGGATGTTTTCCTGTAGACATTGACGAGTACAGTGAGGAATGAACGACTGCCATCCTAATGCCTCTTGCGTAAATACCCAGGGCTCACACAACTGCTCTTGCAATCCTACCTATTTTGGGAATAGTTCTATATGTGAAGGTAAGTTTGTTATATTCAGGCCTCGTGACTTGATAATGTACGTCTTTTTGAATGTTATCAAGGAGCACGCAGAGTTTGTAATACAAATGTTTGATAAGTGGAGGCATAAATCCTTGTCGCCTAATACGCTAAGAAATTACTGTCACTTTTAATTCTATGCGAGCTTTAATCACATTTAACCTATTTTGAAGGGTGAGGGGAAGGGGGTGGCTGGAGAGTTTGTTCTTGTCTTACCAGGCAAAGTTTTAGACTAAATTATATGCGTAATAAAATAATTTATTATCCGTAAAACTCACGATATTATTAAAAGTCTGCAACCTTAATGCTTCGTCATCATGAAAAGATCGATGAAAATTTCTCTTCACTAATGTAATTTAACTTTGTAGGCGATCCGTGTAAAAAATGCAAAAACCTAAGTGAGTATTAAATTCTCAACGTTTCCTCTCGTAACTTAACACCGAGTCACACAACGCATGAATCAATCGCTTGCTTTTTCTCATGACGTGAGCTCGGGACGCCTGTGCGTAAAGATATATGCATAATTGCTAAGGTGCATTCTGCCAGCATGGGTAACTGTGCCTACATCGCTTATTTCTTCTTCTTCTTCTTCCGAGTCAGTTCTCAGGTCGCCGTCAAAGTTAATATTCATGTCTAATCCATATCGGAGTATTTTTTAAAATAATTGCAAGTTTTAGTTTCCTTTGAGTTGTGAGTTGCTTCCAAATTCGTGTTGTGGAGGTTCCTGACTGCATGGCAAAAATTCAAATAGCGTCCCTTTGTTAAAAATGGTCCTTATGGTTGTTCGGTTGGCTGATGAAGCTTATTCTCCTCGTGTGACAGGCATGTCACGTCGGTGAAGGATAAATTAGCGCGGGCAAAAAAATGCAAAGGTTTGATAGCGGAAATTTGTTTCCTTTTTCATTTTTTAATTGTTCTAGCTAGCCAAGAATAAAGACTTTTTCAGTTTTTAGTTTCCTAAAGAACACCATAGGTTACGTTTTTCAGCTAATTGTTGTACGCGTGACTTAAACGCATCACGCGATTAAAATTATTGTCTTAACTCTGAATTTATTTGAAACAACACTTAACAGCAGCTGTAAAAACCTTTACTTCTCTGTGTATTTATTCTCTGCTGCTTATGTGGATAAATGCGATCAGGCTCTGAAAGTGTAAAGGGACAATCAATATTCAGGTACTTAATGTAATAGCTTTGTAACTTTCTCCTTAACCTTTAGGAGATATTTATTATATCCTTCTTGCGGCAAAATAGTTGATTTAAAGACGGTGAGCATTTTTTTCTGTGTATCGCAAAATAACTTAATTTCCGGTACATATGTCGATTCTGTTGATGAAGACGTGTTTGCTTTGTGCTCTAATGCAATATTTATTCTTCACTATTTATCACTGGAACGTATATATATGTTATTTGCCGGCTGGGAGGTCCGTATGGTGAAAAACTGTGACCGAGGTCTTGAAAATACTGCCCGAGGCCGTAGGCCGAGGGTAGCATTTTCAAGACCGAGGTCACAGTTTTTCACCATACGGACCGACCCTTAGCCGGTAAATAACATATTTATTGTTTTTAAACTTGACGAAATTCTTTCCGAAAGAACCCGAATGATTTATGGCCGTGAATACGGAAAGATCTTCCATAAACTGAACAATTTTTGAGTGAGTAAATGGTAGTTAAAATAGAAGTGATGCAAATTTAAGAGAGATACCTCAGCGAAACATTTTCACTTCCGTAACGATAAAGGTGATTTAAAAGGCTTCCAAACAAACTTTGAAACATTATTTTTACAAGTATCTGTCACAATCTGACACCTGTCAATTAGAGAGCGCGCAAGAAAAAAAAAGCGTACGAACATTTGAAAACCAACAGAACTAGTTTGGCAAGGACTGTCACGACAATGTTCTCTTCAAAATCAGTTAATGATCTAACGGAAAGTATTATTCACTGTCATCGACCATTCATTCATGTTGGAAGATTTACCTCTGTTCATTAAGTAAACGGCGAGGAAAGTAATTGTGAGTAAATTCAATTTTTTTTATTTTGAAGTTGTGAGAGTTTGCTCGTTTGTTTGCTGTAATGGCGTGTTTAACTCTGATCTTTCCTTCACAAAAACTAAATTCGAACGGCACACTCCAACGAGACACAAGGGAATGTAATGCGGCCTTTTCTCAAAAAATTCCTTCAATTTCTGTTGTGCAATTTAAGGTACAAATGTCCAAATTGAACGGAATTGGAAAGACTCACCAGGAGCGTGTATTTGTTGTAGAACTTAAATTAAAACTTCGCTCGCTCTTTCACTATGAACAAATTGCTCGAGAAAATTCAGATATTAAATGAATGAAAGTTCCATCGTTCAGTTTAACTGTAACCAAATACCTCACGTTTCAACTTTCTGGGCACTTTTTGTGAACGATTAAAATTAATTGCAGAAGGTTTTTAGGCCGCTTGTCAACCAACGTAATGACACTATTGTTTATACAAATTCATTCTGAAACCAATATTTTTCTGTCAACCAAAGTGATTTGATAGAGAGAAAAGAGAGGATTCATAAGTTATTTATCGGCTTGAGGTAGTGACCGACGTGTTTGCTTAAAAATACTGCCCAGCCGGAAAACGAGGTATATTTATGAAAAATGATAACGAAAGTTGGGATGTACTTGGCGACTCACGAAAGCGTTACCGTGGCCCGTGGGTAGAGATAGGAAAATACTGACCGGGTAAAGAACCAATCAGATTGCAAGATTCGTTACCGTGCCCTCTAAAAAAACAATAAAGTTTGTTATTTGATCCGTCTTGTTTCTTTAGGTTGTGTGATATCACCGAAAAATGAACTCTACAATGAACTTTCTTAGTGGTTTCACAACAGAGGAAACATAGCACTTCTGTAAAACTGATCAAAATTAATTTTCTCTCTATAAATATTACTACAATATTGCGTAAACTGCTGACGAGAATAAAAAACAATCAACTTGTTAAAATGTCAAATGCTTTGAGAAACACATTAAGATTTAGTGGTAAGATCTTCGGACTTCGGAGTGGAAAAATCTGCATAGGAGTGTCCACTTTGAATTGTTGTTTTGCATTTAAGATATGACGACGAAGAAAAGGAAAAATTGGCGACTAGTTTGCAAAACCAAAAATTTGAAAGTCAAATGAAAACTGAGTCGGAGACAGGGAGTAGTCAGCTTGTGGATAATGCGGGTTCTAAAAATTACTAACTTTCAATTTTAATTTTTTTTTGTCGACGTAGGCATTTCTTTCCTCATCATCGATGAAATTAAAAAGAAATTAGAAAAAAAATGGAAAAAAGAAAATACTTTGTCCACGTGTTTTTTAGGACAGCTTCTATCGTTGTCCGTGCTTACTTAAACAAATTCAAAACACTTTAATCCCACGTTAATTCGATAGAGATAACCAGTGATCATCACCAGAACAAGCAAGGATCAACAACATGAATTTAGAGGAAGTTATCGGTTGTTTCTTGTGAATTGAGACTGGTAACAGCATTCCCATTGGTTGCAGTTTACGACATAGGCATATAGATTTTGACTTGACATTTTGGAATTACTCAAATCCGTAATCATCATTTTCTACGTACCCTTTAGTGAAAATTATGTGAAATTGTTCGGTTACCGGGCATAAAGCTAAAGGGACATTTTATGCGCTAACAAATTCCTTCCTTACTTTTTTCCTTTTCGGATTTTGCTTTTTTCTATGAAAACTTTGGTGCAATTAAGCAAAGTAAATTAATATTGAATACAGAAAACTGGAGAATTCATATAAGTAAAGAGTATAAACCTTTTAATACATTCCCCCAAAGAAAAGGATCATGGTATTTCATACGCTTAAGTTTAACATCCTGAGATTTAACAAACACCATTATAAGGTTAATAATTTGAAGGGAACTGTCCAATGAGTTCCATTGATTAACTATCCTATTGTAGAAAGTTTTTTGATTAGTGAAAGGACGCCTGACAGTAGGCACAGTCGTCAGATATGATCAGGGATTAAGTTTTGGTTAGAAAGTCTTCATTTTGGTGCAGCATTCTATCAGTTGTCTAGTTAGTTTCCAATAGTAGTAGTAATCAGCTTTTTCTTTAAACCTAAACTAATTTTCTTTTCTATTTTTGTTGTAAGTGTTACTTTAACGAAATACGCGATTACAATTCTCGTCCTAACTTTGAATTTATTTAAAACAACAATTAACAGCAGCTGTAAAAACCTTTACTTTTCTGTGTATTTACTCTCTGCTGCTTATGTGGATAACTGCGATCAGGCTCGGAAAGTGTAAAGGGACGATCAATATTCAGGTACTTAATGTAAAGGCTTTGTAGCTTTGTCCTTTATCCATAGTGGTTAATTATTTTATCCTTCTTGGGGCAAAATAGTTGATTTAAAGACGCTGAGCAATTTTTCTGTGTATCGCAAAATAACTTCATTTCCGGTATAGATGTCGATTCTGTTGATGACTACGAGTTTGTTTTGTACTCTAACAGGATATTTATTCTTCACTATTTATCTCTGGAACGTATAGTCTGTTATTCGATCCGTCTAGTTTCTTTAGGTTCCGTGAAATGACCGAAACATGAACAGCACTTCTGTAAAACTGATCAAAATTTATTTTCTCTCTATAAACATAACTACAATATTGTGGGAACTCCTGACGAGAATCAAGAACAATTAACTTGTTAAAATGTCCAAATGCTTAGAGAAAGATTTAGTGGTGAGATCTTCGGACTTCAGAATGGAAAAATCAGCATGGGAGCGTCCACTTGTTAGAGCTTCAGGTTGTCACTCTCTTTGAAATGTGATCCGAAACCAGCAATGACATCACGCTGTCCCAATTACTTAGTTAAATTCAATGTGGAAAATGGTCGCTGACGGGTGATCTCATCCCGTATAGTGCAATAAGAGACGAATTGTCTAATTTCGAAGGAAATGTTCTCCGAGGAAACCGAATTGTTGTGCCACAGTCGTTACGGAAAAAAAATTCTGAAATTAGCATACGAGGCCCATCAGGAAATCGTCAAGACTAAAAAGTTCTTTGAGCTTGTCTTTTTTTGGCCTGGTATGGATGATGCAACAGAGACTATGGTGAAGAATTATCAAACGTGCGTTGTTAATCAGCTTCTTAATAAGTACACGCCGCTTCAACCAAACCTTTACCTCGTGGTCCTTGAGTAAAAGGTCCACTAAATCTAGTTGGTCCAATCGATGGAAAATCCATTTCGACTTATATCGATTATTATTCATCCTATCCGGAAGGTACGTGTTTTTCCGTACTATGCGCGAAGCAACGAAAAATTAAAGGAGAACTTTCGAGCAGCCATCAGCGAAGGTAAATCCTGGTAAATGAAGTCGCCTAAAAATTCATGCGCTACAGAGCAAATCCGCTTCATACTAGTGGAAGACCACCTAGTATGCTTTTGTTCAATCGCGAACTTCGAACAAAAAAGCATCATCGGCACTCTATCGCGAACATTGGTCAAAATCCAATTTGTAGCAAACGCGTTCGAAGGCATATCACGATAGAAGGAAACATGCAGAACCGCATTATTTCAAAATTGACGATCTCGTACTTTGTGCCAACAAGAAACCAGACAAACTAGATTTGAATTTCTCTACGGCCGAGCTCGTAATTATTGAGACCAAAGCAAGAGACACTTTTAGTTTAGTCAATGTGGACACGGGTACCACTTTGAGACGCGATGCGAAGTTCCTCAAACATGCATCCAGTCAGCATATTGGTAACGACATTGATGTAGACATTAGTGCTAAGACTGAGGAGTCTATTGACCATTCAGTGAAAAGAAATGACCCTATCAAAATTACCAAGCCCTCTAGTAAGGATCCGGAACATTTCTCGGATTAGAAAGGTTTTGTCAGTTAGTAGTACTAAGGCGTTAGTACACGCCTTCGTCACATGCAGATTAGGCAACTGTAACTCTCTGTTGTATGGTCTTCCGAAACATTTAGTTCATAGATTGCAATCAGCCCAGAATTGTGCGGCACGGCTGATCTTATGTGGTCGTAAGCATGATCACATTACTCCTTTACTGAGGGAACTGCACTGGCTTCCCGTGGAGCGGAGGATTATTTTTAAAATGTTATTTTTTACTTTTAAAGCTTTAAATAATTTATGCCCAAGTTATATCAGTGACTTGTTAGAAACTTATAAGCCTACTAGGTCTTTACGATCATCGAGTAGGAACCTGTTAGTGATTCCTCGCTCCAAGTTGAAATCTTATGGTGATCGCGCCTTTTCTGTCTCTGCACCTAAGTGTGGAATGACATTCCTGAAACCATAAAATGTAGTGTAGATCTTAACGCTTTTAAGCGTAATCTTAAAACTTATCTTTTTAAGGGTTATTTTATGAATGATTACGTTTGATTATTATTTTTATTTTTTACGTCAACCACTATTCGTCAAAGTTTAAAAATTTCTAGTCGAAGTTCCTTTCGAAAATGGCGCGTTTCGAGTTCGACACCATTGTTTTCAGCCCACGCTTGAATAAAAATGGCTGTTAAAACTAAACAATAGCCTATTGAGAAAATTGAGAGGTTTTACGTGGATTTTTTACTTCTTAACATAATTTTTTTCGAGGCTTGTTGTAATTTAACAGCGACTGTATTGTGGTTTTTAGATGATGAACACCAAAAAGCCTTACTGGGGAGTGTTGATAAATTTTATATTGTATTGTATTGTAACTTAAAAATTTGACAATTTTTACCAATAAATTCTTCTGCGCTCCTCCTCCTTCTTGAGACTCTCTCCATTTCCCATGCCCTTAGCCAGTTGATGACTCGCGCTGGGTTGACGCGAAAATTATTCCTGTTGTCGTTTTCTTTCTTTTCACTTTCTTTTAATGACGGCGGCTTTTAGAGTCCTGCAATTAGTCATTACTTACACATACATAACGGGGAGTGATAAGTCCGCAATAAAGTGCAGAGTTTTGTTTTCGAGGTTTTGAAGATTTAAGAAGTGTATAATTAACTTTAGTAAAAAGGAAAAAAGGAAGCAAGGAAGAAAGAGAGAGGGAAGAGGAAAATGCAAGAAAGCGAGAGAAAAAGGGAAAGGGAAGAGAAAACTGCTCAGTTATTTTCTTTGGACAAGGAAAAGAAACCGAGTTCCTAACGTACTGAAAATACCTAAGAGTAACATGTGGCTCGAACAATCGAGAGTCAAGGTCACGTTTATGCATAAAATATCACGCATGACCACATCATTAACAGTTACGAAACTGAAACTCGAAACTGAAAGCCACGCCGACGAACAGACTTTTAGAATCACGAGAGATGCTGGGTTTACCTTTTTTGGTCATAAACTAAGACTTGGAGTGTAGGGAATCATCTGCCTGATGATTTTTTTCACGCAAGTAACTTTGTTTCTCAGCAACTTAAGAGTGAAGTAAATCCCGCATCCACGCCTCTCTCATTTGAGATGGAGTCGTCAGAAAACGAGACTATCTCTTTGGGTCATATCCATCCAAAACCTGCAAGTCTTGGAGAACAACTCTCCATTACGGGAAGCAGAGATCTATTGACAGCTGCCGATCGTTCTTGTAGATCCTACCGAAGAGCTATGGTCATTCTTGTTGCTATTGCAGTGGCAATTTCTGCAATCATCGCGGCAGTGTTCATCAGAAAATACGTTTCGGAATACCTAAGTGATGATAACAGGAAAGGTAAGTATCAGATGTCACTCAATTTTCGCTATTTATTCAGAAGTCAACGATAAAAAAACAACATATTTGAACAAAAGAGAGAAGTTGGTCGAAATTTCAGCACATCGATGTGTCATTGTCGATGTCCTCAGTAGTAGAAAGTGATCATCTCATTTTCACGTGAAGCTAAAAGCTAACGGACAAAATTAATCAATAGATATATGGACAAGACGATAAAGTAAGTATTCAGTTTGATAATGTAAATGATAAGCATTAAAGAAGGAAACATGTAGGAGCACTTTCGTCCGCGTTGTCCAAACCCCGCCAGATTTATTTTTCAAATTCGATATCAAAAGCTTCGTTAATTTAAAAATACCATTCTATAAAAAAGTCATAAAGCTGGCGTTTTTGTCCTCTCATCAATGTTAGGGTAAGAGCGATAAGTTTTAAATGTGCTTTGGAAATCAAAGAGGCAAGCGATCCGTTGATAGAACATGCACGAGCACATAAGTAGCTGCGAGGCTACTTAGGAGCACTTAAGACTTAAGAGCATTCCAGCGGAAAATTTCAATTGTATAATATTATCTGCCTGTTTGAATTACTCAGTGGGTACCAAGCGTGCGAGAATGATGAGCAGATAGCCATTGTTCCAGTTATTTTCTTAACACATAGTTTCATCAGTTAGCTTTAGATTAGTGATAAATTAATCCTTTAATGGAGCCTGGGAAAAAAATCTACATCATTCCACGTATTTTTACAGGAATCATGTACAGTTCAATTTTTGGATCATTTGCGATCCGGATTAACTTTACTAAAATTGTCTTATAACTTTTTCTTAAAATAATAAACAGCGCTGCACGAAATGAAATACTAAAAACTTGTTTTATGCTCCTACGCGTCTTATCTGATAGCAGCAGGAGTTTATACAAGTAGGCAAATTAGCTTGCTCAGATACGCATGGTTAATAAGATGTCTATTTTCGACTTTTAATCAAAGAGCGAAGCAAAAGTGTGACAAAAGTGTTGTACATGCGTGACATTTTTAAGACGTTACATATAAGAGTACGTATTTCATGATGGTGGTGACAGATTAAGAACTAAATCTATGAGCTGAGTTCTTGCAAGTTTTGCACACGAATTTCGGTTCTTGAGTCCATGCTGTTTTGATGTAGGAGGTAGAAATAGCAGCTCTAATTTCACTTTAATGGCGTCTTCAATTGTAGGGTGTCACGATGACAAATGGCAAGTTCACTCGAATAATTTGCTTTTCCTTGATAATTTATTACTTATATGGCGCAAAATACATGTGGATATGATCTAATGCGCTTGTGTAGGCCAGAAAGGAGATTTTGTTTTGATATTTTGTTTTCTTTAACTCTAGATTGCACTGAGCTATATGTTCTTCGGACAACAATCAGGCCAGACCGATGTCATATTTCCTCCCAGGGTTAAAGTTAAAATGAATGTTTTCACGCTCTTGTGTTGTTCCTCTTTTAAGCTACCTTTTCCTACATTACTTGTGTCCCCAGGCATCGACGAGTGCAGCACTGGAAGCTATGTATGTGACATGAATGCGAACTGTACTAACACTGACGACTCTTATATCTGCGCCTGTAAGGAAGGATACACTGGAGACGGGCATTCATGCCAAGGTATAATCACTGCATTCGACCTAGCAAATAGCAGAATAAAGTTTCTCAAAAATAAAAAAAAACACTCTCTCCATTAAACTTAAAAATTTAATGTTTGTCTCCGTGTCAAGTAACGTTTGTCAATTGATTTTTGTTCACAGATGTCAATGAGTGTAGCAATGGCAACCATGTTTGCCATGTTAATTCAAACTGTAACAACACAAATGGTTCTCATATTTGTACCTGCAAAGAAGGATACACTGGAGATGGGCAGTCATGTCAAGGTAAATAAGAGTAGCCCACACTATTTAAAATAAGCAGCTTTGCTCATAAGCTATCGCCCATAAAATTAGCCCTGATTTTAGAGGCCTGCACAGAAAAAGTGAGGATGTTACGGTGACACTAAGGGCAGTGTAATTATAGACCATATTGGTGTTGACACGACACCAACCAGGTGTAATTAGAACATTACACCAGGTTAGTGTTAAGTAACACCAACTAAAGTACTATATAACACCTTGCTGGCATTTTTTAACCCTTTCGCTATGTAAAGAAATCCCCTGCAAGGGTTCAAAACCACCGGTTTATAAAGTCACACTGAGTGGTGTAAGTGTGTGCAATTCAGTGTTAAAATAACACAAGTGTGAAATGTCTTAGACGCTGGGTTTTCTTTTTCAAACAGATCTGAAGTAGAATAATGACGTATAGCCTGAGAAATCACAAAAATATTCTTGACATGTCTTTCATATCCTTTTATAGTGAAAGTATGTCAGTTATGTGAATCTGTTGTTGTCAGCCGGTGAAAATCTACCGTCGCCTGCCAAAAGGAGAATCCTGAAAAGGGTTAATTTTCTCCAGAGAGGCGATTCCGAAGACACGTTGTTTAAGTATGCCGTGAAGTTGTCATTTGTGTCACGTTGACTAAGAATCTCAGACTACAAGTAAGCTAAAATACTTGAAGTATAAGTTGACAAAAAAGCGTTCATTGATCGATGCTGAATTTTGTAGTAAGAAACTTTACCAATGAAAACGTGTATTGTACGAGTTACGCCCAAATATTTATATTATTGCAGACATAAAAAGTAGAGGATGGAGTGTATTGCCTTGTCATGGGGATGATCATCGCGATGACCTATCAACGCTAAGGCAAACGAGTTTTAACTAACTAAGCGCCGCATCGGCCGGTCGAAAAATTTAACAAACGCCGCGGCACTTTAACGGGTAAATATGTGGTAATAAAAATTTTTTTGTATTTTTTAACATCGCATCATAGTATCATTGCCTGAATTAACAATTTCTTGGCGTTTTTCGGAGTTTTGCTGCAAAATTCTCCACTGCGTTAAGAAAAATCTCTGAGGAGCGCTGGTTCGACAATCAATAGGACTGTATCTTTCCGATTTCTTGCGTTTATTTACGATCCACAGTATCCGAACTCTCTACATTCAATCGTTCTCCAGTCTTCTGTTACAAGATAATGATTCTATTTATCTGCTATTACAACGGAAACACACGCCCGAACTACGCAAATCCAAGACTGACATTACTTATTCGTGATTTACTAAAATCCCAAGCTATTTCCTGTCAACTTGATTTTAACAGCTGTTTCTCATTATAGACCGATCAACACTTCTGTAATTTACACCCGCACGCAATATTTGCTGCACGAACGACACATCACGCAACGTCACAGGATGTTCCACCCCAAACGGGCACGCAGAATTTCCCTTGACAATTCCTTATTTAATTATTTCAGACCATTATTGATTTTCTCTATCACGAACATTCTCACTACAAGTCTGCCATTACCGTGCTACGTTCAATTATACACTTAAATCTTAAGTAACCCAACTGTCATGAAACCCTGAGCTTAATTACTAAGTTAGAAAATAAAGTGTCACGCGATACGCTTACAAGATTATCACAACAAGTTTCTTATCACCCGCAGTCTTCTCGTCCAATCAGAGAATAGCGAGGAAGAGTTGAAAGTGACGGGTGTTGGTTTAGAGAATTCACATCGTTGTCGGACAGTTCAAACGGACACTCTAAATTTTAGGGAAGTCAATTTGCTCCGCGATCTAGGTATTTTTACGGACAGAAAACACTTTAGGAATATGAATTCAGTTATTTTTTTCTCGTGATGGTGTGATGGAATGGATGAAGAAAGAGGATTTCAAGGATTTGTCGATGTCTTCTTTGGTAGGCCGATGTTCTAGTTACGTTTCATGAAGTTTTTACAGGCCAAGGCAACTCCAAACTGTTACCAGTAAGGACGTTTGATGTAGATGTACTCCAGATAACTTTTCACTTGTTTGAAGATACGAATTCAAACGACTGTGCAATTACTCCAGGAATGATTTGCTTGAAATGCACCGTGACACTTACGTATCTTCTCCACAAACCGAAAATACAGTTTTGGCGCCAAATGACAATCACATTGATGGTTATGGATACTTTCTTTTCAAGTTCTTATCTTCTTTGCTTGTTTTGCTTCTTTTTCTGTTTGGTTTTTACTTTTTCTTGAACATCAAGAGACGAGTTAGTTGATGGTGAAGCTTTATTCTGCATGAACGAAGACACAGTCTGAAAAGCCTCGTGCCCTCAGCGGCTGTCCGTGCTAAACTACTTGTCAAGATCGAAAAGCTCAAAGCGAGCGAGCAGTCGTCGTTTCCGTTGCCCGGAGAGACCATTGAGATTGCGGAGAATGAACCACTTATGCACGGTACACCAACTTGCAGCAAAAACCTGGACGATTCAAACGATATAGCTCTGGCGAAGAAAGGTAACGATTTATAGTTGACTAAAAACTAACTAGAGTACAAACTGCCTGAGTCAACATGACCGTAACAGATACATGACGCAATATTCCAATTAAGTTCTGCTCTATATCTAAGGCATATTAGGTGACAAGACAAAGAGCACCGTTTGCGGTTCGTCTTTTCAATTTTGTATATTCGCGATTTAACTTGTTCCTTTAAAGGCAAGATTTGTGCAATATTTCGTAATAACGCTCATTGTGCTGACGTAGGAACCATTTTCAGGCATAGAGTTTTAAAAATTCCCTTAAAGTAGCACTCCGCTGCTCTAGGAACTATATCAATTAATCACTCCTTCATTTTACAAATTTACTGACAGTTTTTCTATAGCCTGAATGTCTACTTACCTTAGACTATTTTCACTGTAACTTCTGGTTAACTTTCACCGATTTCAAGTTTCCCTTCTATTTTTGGAGTATGATTGAACAGAATTTCTATGGTCACTGTTATCCCCAGCCATTCAGTCATGTTGTGGACTTCCATAGTTATGTAAAGCGGATTTTCCGCTTTTTACTAGCTCCAAAGTTGAGTGGATTAAATATTTAATACCGCTCATTACTTGGAACGTGAAGAGAACCAGCAAGGGATGACAAGTGGCTAACAAAAAAAAAACAACAAAAACAACAAAAACAATTTTTCTTCCATGTTTCTTTTGAAGTGGAACTGTTCAAGACAAAACTTGGATAAGATCCATGGAGGCAAAATGACGCCAGAGATTAGCTAGAAATAAGAGAAAACGGACAGAAAAAAGGAAACTGGAGAAAAATACAAAAGAAAGGCAGCAGAAGAGAAATTGCTTTACACCGAAAAAAAGGAGGATAAATTTTACCAAATGTGGCGCCAAGTAGAGCGAGAAAAAGAAAAATCACTTCAGTCCCAAATGTCTCTAGAAAAGGAATAAAGCGATAACCGTTCAAAGGGTGTTGTTCCCATTAAAACACTACTGGATATTCCCGGGGAAATTTTAAATTTGGATTGCATGATTCAAATACTACCTTGGGATAAGGAAAGTTTGGCCAAGTAACACTTGCCTCCTACTAAGGGTTACCTGTTGCTGAGAAGCAGTTCAATGCTGCTGTCTTACAAGCAGAAATAGAACATGAGGCAAACATTGTTTCTTCTTTCAAGCACTTAAATCTACTAGTTTTCTTTGGAGTTTCTTGTCCGGAAAAGCCTTATCTGCTTGTCTTACAATTCTATAGAGCGGCAGGCAAAGCATTCACTATAAAAGACTGCCTTAACTATAGAATAAGTGACTGATACAGATTTGTTTCCTTATTTTATTCTGTAGAATGCTCCTGAAGCAAAAAAAGTGGCCGGGCAGGCAAGGACAGGAATGCCTCCCTTCATCATATTTGAGGGGAAATTATGCTCCCCAGACATTATCTTTATCAGTGGGGAGCAGGAGCTCTTAATAAAGATAAATGGGGGGCACACAGAGGCGCCGATTACTTTATTATTGTTGTATTTATTGTGTTATGTGTAGTATCCAAAAGAATGTGTAAATGTACATCTCTCCTTGCAGAGATACATTTTAAAAGTTTATGATAGTGCAAGACTGCCCAACAAATTATTGCAATTTCTGAACGAACAAAACTGCTAAGGCTTTATTTTTTATGTTTCGTTGGTGAGTTTGAGATTGAAAATAATAAAGGTGAGAACAAGAGAACCCCATCGCATTCAAATGTCTTCGTAGCTTTGGAGTTAATTTCACTATTAAGAGTGTTACTACAACACATAGGGTGTTGTTTTATAACACTAGTGGAAGTGCTGATTTACACCAATTGAGTGTAAAATTCATAACAGTGTAAAATCACCTCGTCTTGGTGTTGGCACAGCTGCAAGGCATTTTACACCAATTCAGTGTCAAGAAACACTTAGAGTTAAAGTACACTAAAACAGTGATAAGTCAGCACCATTGTGGTGTATAGTTACACTTCAGTTACATGACATGAAAACGAATTTACACCACGTTGGTGTAAAAGAACACCGTTTCAGCGTTGATGAAACACCAAAATGGTGCTCACACAGCTGCATAAATTTACACTTTTTTGGTGTCACCATAACACCTTGACTTTTTGTGTGTGTTTTCACGCAAACCTATTGTATTTTTTTAAAATTACCTTTTATACAACACTAACGTTGCTAGATATCGACGAATGCAGCAAAGGAAGCCATGATTGTGACGTAAATGCGAATTGTGCAAACACTAATGGCTCCCATAGCTGCACCTGTAAGGAAGGATACACTGGAAAAGGAGAGTCATGCCGAGGTAAAATTAGATTATGATTTTCACGCCCCGACCTCGTATTTCTATTAAATTACAAGTTTCATCATATGCATACATTCACATTTTTCGATGCTGTAGAATATAATACACGCGGATATGCAGTCTTGCCAATTTAGAGTAGAACAGCGGTACTTGATGTTGAGCAAAGCAGCTTTCCATGACAAGTATCGTCTTTGTAACTGAGGTTATGATCATGAGGCAGCGTGATGATTTTCACGCCCCGACCTCGTATTTCTATTAAGTTACGGGTTTTATCATATGCGTGCATTAACATTTTTCGAAAGTCTAAAATATAATACGCGCGGATATTTTACCAGCTAGATGTTAAACATGTATCTTGCGGGGTTTATTCGCTCTTTTCGACTTAGAGACAGGGAAGATTATGAACACTCAGGCTTAAGATGCCTTTTCTCAAGTATTTAGAGGTATTTTGATATTTTTTGCCAGCTGTCAGTATGTTGTATTATTTCTATCGAGAAGGGAAATTTGTATGGTTTTTATCTTTCATGATCGATTTATAAACCATTGTCTGTTTGACAATTAAATGTTATAAAAGAGGATTAACTCTCCTTACGTACATGCAAACTATACAATAAACTTAATACATCACGTAAAGTCTGCCCGTACGGTATATGAACGATCGTTGCTTTATATCAAAAATCTTACTCGTTTGCGTTCACTCGCTCGACTTCCGATACTATGTACTATAAGATATCGATGAGTGCCTCAGTAGAAGCCATGCTTGTGACGTGACTGCGAATTGTACCAACACTGACGGCTCCCACAACTGCACCTGTAAGGAAGGATACATTGGGGACGGACACTCATGCCAAGGTATAATCATTAAATTAGACTAAGCAAATAACAGAATGAAGTTTCCCACAAATAAAAAAAATCTCTTTCGTTAAAAACAGAAATTTGATGTTTGTCTCTGTCAAGTAACGTTTTTCAATTCATTTTTGTTCACAGATGTCAATGAGTGTAGCGATGGCAACCATGTTTGCGATGTTAATTCGAACTGTAACAACACAGATGGTTCTCATATTTGTACTTGCAAGGAAGGATACACTGGAGATGGACAGTCATGTCAAGGTGAATAAGAATAGCCTACACTTTTTAAAACAAGCAGCCTTGCACATAAACTATCGCCCATGGAAATTAACCCACATTTTAGAGACCTGTTTTTACGCACCACTCTCATATTTCTATTGCGTTCCCTCTGATACATCACTTATGCTTCTAGATATCGATGAATGCAGCAATGGAAGCCATGATTGTGACGTAAATGCGAATTGTACAAACCTTAATGGCTCCCATAGCTGCACCTGTAAGGAAGGATACACTAGAAAAGGAGAGTCATGTCAAGGTAAAATTAGATTAGACTTAGAAAAAAAGTAGAATAACTGTTCATTACAAATAATTTCCTTGTTATCCGACAAACTGGGTAGACTTTTTTTTTCTCTATTCAGTTATCATTTGCAAGTCTATTGTGTTCACAGATATTGATGAATGCAACGGTGATAGTCATGTTTACATGATTCAGTTTGGTCATGTAAATGGTGAGCCATTAAAGAAGGAAACAAGTAGGAGCACTTTCGTCTACGTTGTCCAAACCCTGCCAGACTGATCTTTGTCCAAACCCTGCCAGACTGTTCCTTCAAATTCGATACCTTAAGCTTCATAAATTAAAAAAAATACCAATTTCTACAAAAAAACGTAAAGCTAGCGTTGTTTGTCTTCTGATATTAGAGTAAGAACGATAAGCTGGAAAAATGCTTTGAAATAAAAGAGGCAAGCGATTCATTGACAGAACGTGCACGCGCACACAGGTAGCCGCGAGGCCGTGACAGTAGCCTATTTAAAAAACTTCAGAGCATTCCAGTGGAAAATTTCAATTGTATAATGTTATCTGTCTGTTTGAATTACCCGGTGGGGTGTTTTGCAAGTATGTGGCTCTTATAACAAATGAAGTTATCCCAAAAAAATACATCCAAAAGTTGCAAAGTAGTCAATGAGAGCGGATGTAATTATCTGTGTGGTTAAATAGCTTTAGGAGGGGTTTTACAAGCGTTCATGTCTTACAACAGTGAAGTGCGCTCCTGAATACAACCAAAAGTTACAAAATGGTTAATAAAGAGCAGATAACTATTGTACCAGTTATTGTCTTAATACATGGTTTCATCAGTTAACTTCAGATTAGTAATAAATTAGTCCTTTTATGGAGCCTGGGGAGAAAAAAACATAATTTCAATTTTGGGATCATTTGCGATTCGGACCAACTATTTACTAAAACATCTTAAAAACTTTTTCTTAAAATAATAAACAGCACGGCACGAACTGAAATACTAAAAACTTTCTTCATTCTCCTACGCGACTCATCTGACAGCAGCAGGAGTTTATACAAGTAGGCAAATAAGCTTGCTTAGATACTCATGGTTAATAACATGTCTGTTTTCGACCTTAAAGCAAAGCGTGAAGCAAGCGAAAAGGTATCTACGAGGTGTGACAAAAATGTTGTACATGCGTGATATTTTTGAGACGTCACATATAAGAGTACGTGTTGTTTATGGTGGTCACAGATTAAGAACTAAATCTACGAGCTGAGTTCTTGTAAGTTTTGCACACGAATTTCGGTTCTTGAGTCAATGCTATTTTGATGTAGAAGGCAGAAACAGCAGCCTTAATTTCACTTTACTGGCGTCTTTCAATTGTAGGGTGTCACGATGACAAATGGCAAGTTCACTCGATTAATTTGCTTTTCCTTGTGTAGGCCAGAAAGGAGATTTTTTAATTTTGTTTTGATATTTTGTTTTCTTTAACTCTATATTGCACAGAATTATAAGTTCTTAGGACAACAATCAAGCCCGAACGATGTCATATTTCCTCCCAGGGTTAAAGTTTAAATGAATGTTTTCACGCTCTTGAGTTGTTCATCTAATAAGCTACCTTTTTCTACATTACTTGTGTACCCAGGGTTCGACGAGTGCAGCGCTGGAAGTTATGTATGTGACATAAATGTGAACTGTACTAACACTGACGACTCTTATATCTGCGCTTGTAAGGAAGGATACACTGGAGACGGGCATTCATGCCAAGATATAATCATTACATTTGACCCAGCAAATAGCAGAATAAAGTTTCTCAAAAATAATAAAAAAAAAAATCTTTCCATTAAAACTTAGAAATTTGATGTTTTCTCTCTGTCTAGTAACGTTTTGGCAATTAATTTTTGTTCACAGATGTCAATGAGTGTAGCAATGGCAACCATGCTTGCCATGTTAATTCGAACTGTAACAATACAAATGGTTCTCATATTTGTACTTGCAAGGAAGGATACACTGGAGATGGACAGTCATGTCAAGGTGAATGAGAGTAGCCCACACTATTTAAAATAAGCAGCTTTGCTCATTAGTTATCACCCATGAAAATTAGCCCACATTTTAGAGGCCTGTTTTTACGCTCCACTATCGTATTTCTATTAAATTACCTTTTATACATCACTAACGCTGCTAGATATCGACGAATGCAGCGAAGGAAGCCATGATTGTGACGTAAATGCGAATTGTACAAACTCTAATGGCTCCCATAGCTGCACCTGTAAGGAAGGATACACTGGAAAAGGAGAGTCATGCCAAGGTAAAATTAGATTAGATTTTGAAAAAAGGAGAATAACTGTTCATCACAAATAATTGTCTTGTTATCCAACAAACTGTTTAACATTTTTTTCTCTAGTCAGTTACCCTTTGCAAATAGATTGTTTTCATAGATATTGATGAATGCAACGATGATAGCCATGTATGTGATACTAATGCTAACTGTACTAACACTAATGGTTCTCATAATTGCATCTGTAAGGAAGGATACATTATAAATGGAGTCTTGCCAATGTATATTAGAACAGCGGTACTTGATATCGAGCGAAGCAGCTTTCCATAACAAGTATTGTCTTCGTAACTGAGGTTATGATCGAGAAGTAGCGTGATGATTTCTATTAAGTTACGAGTTTCATCATATGCATACATTCACATTTTTCAATGTTTTAGAATATAATACGCGCGGATATTTTGCAAGTTGCTCGGTATTTTTCTGAGTGCGGAAGGAAACAGGATAATTTTGAGCAATGAGCAAAATTTCTTCTCATAATATATGATAAACCATGGAATATGAGATTTATCATTTCACCATTACTTGGGATATTTTTCTCGAATATGCGGCCACGCTCGGATAACCACCTCCAACCCCCCGCCCTTCTCCTCCCTCACTTTTTTAAATAGTATAGATACGAGGAAAATCTGTTTCTGCTGCCACACTTTTTTTTTTAACTTTTCAACTTTCAACGACAGCGCAATCGGTAGAGCAGAATAATTTTATTTTCAATTTCGGATTTTTCTATCTTCATGTGCTTGCAGAGTATTTTTTATGTATTATCTATTATTTTGATTTTATGTCCTATTGCTGAGGTAACTTGAGAAGCACTCCTCTCGACTAATCGACAAAGCGCCCACCCTACAAATAAGTGCCCCCTCCCCCTCTCATTTTTAGCCTGAATTTTAAATAGGCGCTCGATTGCTCCTTGAAAATGTCTATTATTTCAATTATTAAAGTACACACAATATCGCCCGAGGAACTTAATATGTATCTTATGGAGTTTATTCGCTCTTTTCGACTTAAAGACAGAGAAGATTATGAATCCTCAGGCTTAACATGCCTTGTTTCAAGTATTGAGAGGTATTTTGTTATTTTTTGCCAGCTGTCAGTATGTTGCATTATTTCTATCGAGAAGGGAAATTGATGTGGCTTTTATCTTTCATGATCGATTTATAAACCATTGTCTGTTGGCAATTAATTGTTATTAAAGAGGAATTTACTCTTCTTATGTACATGTAAACTATATAATAAATCTAATACATTACGTAAAGTCTGTCCGCAAGGTATGTAAAGAATCGTTGCTTTATATCAAAAATCTTTCTCACTTGGTGCGTTCACTCCCTCTGTTGTGGTTCTTTTTTAAAAGAACAGGAGGCGTAGATTGCAAGACACACACACGTTTTATTCCGAAGCAAGAAGAACACTAAACTAAATCACACGTGAATAATGATCAATGCCTATATTTTATATGCGGTGACCTAGGTACTAATATGATGACTGCTGGCCGGAAACGGAGGCTAGCCAATATGATGACACTTTCGATTTCGGATACTACGAGCTCGCGCGTAAATACCATACAGGCAGACTTTGCATGAAGTATTTTATATCTATATCATTTCTACTACCAGATATCGATGAGTGCCTCAGTGACAGCCATGTTTGTAACGTGACTGCAAATTGTACCAACACTGACGGCTCTCACAACTGCACTTGTAAGGAAGGATACACTGGGGATGGACAGTCATGCCAAGGTATAATCACTGCAGTAGACTAAACAAATATAAAAAAATATATTTCTTCAAAAACTTAGAAATCTGATGTTTGTTTCTGTCGAGCAACGTTTTGGCAATTCATTTTTGTTCTTAGATATCAATGAGTGTAGCGATGGCAACCATGTTTGCGATGTTAATTCAAACTGTAACAACACAGAGGGTTCTCATATTTGTACTTGCAAGGAAGGATACACTGGAGATGGACAGTCATGTCAAGGTGAATAAGAGTAGCCCACACTATTTAAAACAAGCAGCTTTGCACAGAAACAATTGCCCATGGAAATTAGCCCTCATTTTAGAGACCTGTTGTCACGCACCACTCTCGTATTTCTATTACCATACTTTTTGTATATCACTTATGCTTCTAGATATCGACGAATGCAACAATGGAAGCCATGATTGTGACGTAAATGCGAATTGTACAAACACTAATGGCTCCCATAGCTGCACCTGTAAGGAAGGATACTCTGGAAAAGGAGGGTCATGTCAAGGTAAGATTAGGTTAGACTTTGAAAAAAAGTAGAATAACTGTTCATCACAAATTCTATTCAGTTACCCATTGCAAATCTATTGTGTTCACAGATATTAATGAATGCAACGATGATGTTTGTGATGCTAATGCTAACTGTACCAACACTAATGGTTCACATCATTGCATCTGCTAGGAAGGATATATTAGAGATGGACAGTCTTGCCAATGTAGATTAGAACAGCGATACGCAAAACACCTTTCCATAACCAGAATTGTCTTCGTAACTGGGCTAATGATCAAGAGGCAACGCAATGGTTTTCACGGCCCGACCTCGCATTTCTATTAAGTTACGGATATCATAATATGCATAGATACACAATTTTCTAATAATGCGTGCGGATATTTTACGAGTTGCTTGGAGTGTTTCCGAGCCCAGAAGGGAAGAGAATAAAAGAAGGCAATTAGCAAGATTTTTTCTCTTACCATCGAATAAGAGATATATCATACCACCATTACCTAGAATATTTTTCTCGAATATGCGGCTACGCCCGGATAACCACCCCCACCAACCCCTCTACTCCCTCAGTTTTTAAATAGTATAGGTACAGGGAAAATCTGTTTCTATTGCGACATTTTTTTGTATAACTATTCAACCTTCAACAACAGCGCAATCAGTACAGCAGAATAATTTATTTTCCATTCGAAATTTTTCTATGTTCATGTGCTTGCAGAGTTCCTTTATGTATTATGTATTATGTATTATGTATTATTTTGATTTTATGTCCTATTGCTGAGGTAACTTGAGAAGCACCCCTCTCGACTAATCGATGACGCACCCCCCTACAAATAAGTGCCCCCTCCTCTCCCCCCCCCCTCAGTTTTAGCCGAAATTTTCGATAAGCGCCCAGGCGCTCATTGAAAATGTCTGATATTTCAATTATTAAAGTACACACAATATCGCCTGAGGAACTACACATGTATTTTGCGGAGTTTAGAGAATATTATGAACCCTCAGGCTTAATATGCCTTGTTTCAAGTTCTGAGAAGGGAAATTTTTATGGTTTATATCTTTCATGATCGATTTATAAACCATTGACTTAAGTCTGTTGAACAATTAATTGTCATTAGAGACAAATTAACCCCCTTTATGTAAATGTGAACTAGATAATAAACCTAGTACATCATAAAGAGTCTGTCATACATGAAAAGATGCAATGTGATTTACAACTTTAGACATGGCAGGTGGAGTGAAATTAAAAAATGAACAAAATTTACCTGGAGAATCGTTATTCTCATGGCCAAATCCAGTCCTGTGAATGAAATACATCTAGTGGCTACGTATGTATTGACCTCCATGTTGTGAATTGTGCCGATCAGTATTGAACTGAGACATGAGAAGCGGCTGTGTTCACAGGCTAGAAACTGCACTTATGTTAGTAAACTTGCGCGTTACAAATCTTTCCTATCTCTATCAACTGAGGACGTTATCTTCTAGACATTGATGAGTGCAGTGAGGATTTTGTCGTCAAGATGAACGACTGCCATCTGAATGCCTCTTGCGTTAATACCCAGGGCTCATACAACTGCTCTTGCAATCCTACCTATATTGGGAATGGTTCTCTATGTGAAGGTAAGTTTATTATTTTAAGTCTTCGTAACTTCATAATGTACGTCTAGTTAAATGTTACCAAGGAGCGTGCAGTATTATTAGTATTATTGTTATTACTATTACTATTACTATTATTATCATTATTATTACTATTTAACTTAAATTTCTACAATATTTTTCGTACACCTAGAAACTCAAGAAATGAACTTCTTATATTTTTCCTCTTTTTATTTATTTCTTTTTTAATTCTATATCATTTCCAGTGTAATTTAATTAAGTTAAAGTAAAATTGACCCCTCCCTGTTTAGCATCTGCTATCTTTGGGTCAAAGGAATGTGTTTTATATATATAAATATATATATGTAAATGTGGAGGTAGAGTCTACCATGGCGTAAAGTGCTCAATGTTGCGGTAGCAGAGCTAAGTATACATAAGTTAAAGAATTAAAGAGGACGCATCGATTCTCTGTTACTCTGATTATTCGAATAAAGTTTTGCCTGACGAGCGCTTAGGCGGAAACTCAGATTAACAGAGAATCGATGCGTCTTCTTAATTCTTTAACTTACGTATAAATATATATATATGATGATATCAATATATAAATGATGGTGAGATGAAAGTGAGAAGTCCATAGCTTCAAGTGATTCCTTTGAGCTACGTTATGATAAAAAAGATGATAAGATTTCCCTTTCACAATTATTGTTGAATTTTTTAGCCGATCCATGTTATAATTACCGCAACCTAAGTGAAGCTAACAGAAAAAGCAGTTACGTCACACCGCATGATTTAATGTTATGTGACCACTCACTCCCTGAGGGATGGTATCGTTTTGTGGGAGCTGCAGGAACAAAAATGCCAACAACGCGTGTGCCAGCCTTCAGATGTGGTACAGACTGGTCAGGCTGGCTGGCTGGTTCTCATCCTACAATGGAAGATGGTGAAGTTCTTAGGATGGTCTGCTTTAGCGATCGTCGTACAGGTTGCAAATCTACAATCAAAATTTCAGTTCAAAATTGTGGATCATTTTACATCTATAAATTTGCTCCGTCCTCATTTTGCAATTCCCGCTACTGTGGTACGGACTAAATCTGCGTCTAATAACTTCACAAAATGAGATATGTCATAAAGAGATCCTTGTGAACAATGTACATTACGAGTTACCGTAGTCCACTTCATATCGTAATCGTTAATGCCATCGTTACATGAGCTGGTGCATAATGCCAATCTTTTTACGTCGGTGACGAACTGTTACATGTTATATATATTATAAGAGTTCTAATGATGGTGGGTATCAAACCTCATTTGATTGATAATTAATAAGAACCGTCAAAGGTCCAGGTAGTGTCTTTAATCAGAAAGTAAGTTTCTTGATCCCAGATACCGACGCTTCTTGTTTAAGTTGTCATCCCATAAAACATCTGTTTAAAAGCTGGATTATTAGACAATCACTAAAGTATCTCGCCTCAATGTTACCTTAATACGTTTACTATCAATAAATTCATTATCATCTCTGGGTTTATTAATTTATCTGAAGTCTAAAATTTTATTAAAGGTAATAGAAGTAATGGGCTCCTGAGGTAATTAAAGTGGCTGGAAACTGTTTTCCGAAAAACCCAAATGCTAAAGTTGTATTCAAAGCGCTTGAAACCAACTTTCCTTCTTCATAGTCGAACCAGTATTACACATGTGTTGACCAAAGGACTGAAGTTCTAAATAGTGGACGTGGCATAGCAATCGATATTATTATACAAATGTCATAGGGAAATCCTGTTAAACAGTTTTTAGGGTCGGTCCAGGAAATTTCTCGATATATTTTACACAACTTCAGAATTTTTCCTTCTGAGGAAAGGCCTCGCTGATCAGTGCCTTTTAATGAACTAGAATTTTTTCGACATTTACACTTACCCCTTCACTCTCATCGGTTTTCTGTTGCACCCTTGGTATGAGGTCGCCTCTTCTTGCTAACTGTCTTGTGACTCTTTTTGCGCCATTGCTTTTTCTATGATTTAGAACTGAATACCTTCCGTGTGACTTGATACTTTCACGGAACGGGGTGGACAGGCAGAGAAGTGGGTGCAACTTCCGCAAGTTAAGTCATCTTTTAATAGTTGACAACGGAGGCAAGTTTATCCCCCCCCCCCACACTCTAGATAACGGAATGCTTTAAAAGTATGTTGCATTTGCATGGGAAAAGATGGCTACTGAAACGAATTCAACTGCAATTCGGAAAAGTTTATTTGGATTTGGTGCACACTTTTTTCACGTTGAGCTCGTGCAACCATATTTCGGAGATAGGGTGGTTACCAAGCGCTGAACATTGCTCGAGCTACAATCTCAAGCCCAGGTTCGTTTTAGCTCCTTGTCAGCGGTATGATCGCCAGTTAATGACTTCTGGGAGAATAGATTTATTCAATTTTTCTGATTTGTTGTTCGGAAAACAATAGACTCCTCACAGGAAGTGTGATCTACGGAAGGGATCGATCGGGCCGGAAACAGGGCGTTAACAACGATAAATTAAAATTTATTTTGCTGTTATTATTGTTGTTTTTTGTTTATTTTTTGCATGAAATTTTTCGATTGTTAACTGCCTGTCGATGCGTTAGAAAACATCCAACCACGTTCGCTGCATGCTGCAATGACAGGAAGTTGTTCTTCATGGAACGATGGATTTCTCTCGTTGTTGTAAAAGACGCATAAGTAGAAATAACTCATTATATTGATTTGTTTGGAGTAAAAAGCAGAAAAGAAGGCCTTGTTAAGGCCGTGCAAGCATACGGAAATGTAAATGTAAAAGAGTACGATATCAGAATAGCATATGTCGGATATGCTTGCTACAATCTTGTTCTCGGTATCAAAGAAGAAATCGAGAAGTTTTGCTAAATATGCAAAGAAAAAAAGCCAAGAAAAGGGTTCCGTTCTTGAAAAAACAGAAATTAGGTCTTTCGCCGTCCAAAGCCCTTCTCAGGCCACAATTTTTAAATTATTTACAACTTCCCTTGTTCCTGTTCGTATGTCTGGCCAAGCCTTTATCGTCATTGGCCCTCGTATAGCCGCTAATTATGGCTTACAAATACAGGCGTTTGGTGTTAACTTGTTAAACTCCCTTATGAAGTTTATGACAGTTAAAGGAAACGCGTCAAAGAATAAAGAAGTTTTACCGCTATTGTTCGCAGAGTGCTTCTCACTCGTTTAGTTTTAAAAATATCATTTAAAAACTTTAAAAAAAAAATTTGACACCCCAATTTGTTTGCTTAGACAGAGCAGAATATAAAAGTAGTACATTGTGTATATCGCTATTCTGAGTAATTATACATGAAGAGGCCATTAAGGTCAATTGAGTAAAATACATTTTTAGTTGAAGGCTTTTGATCAATATTTCGATAAAATTGAAGATACTTAATAAGGAAACTCCTATTAAATGGTTAATAAGTGAGTGAATCTACTGTTGTGACAAACATAATCAGTAGGTCATCCAAGGTGAGTGAAATTTGGGACAGCGTCGATCCCAGCGTGCTTTGAAAAATGAAAAAAAAAAAAATTTGGCGGAGAGATTTTTCGTTCTGTTCGCTTTCCACGGACATTCAAGGTCACAGTACCTCCTGGGCCTATCTTTGTTTTCACCGAAATTTACAGAAATTGTTGTTGCTGTTGCAATCAGAAAACTACTCAGTGTACTGTAGGAATTCAGACATATCTTATCATATCATATCAAAAGAGATTAGAAATCGATAGAACACATGTTAAAACCGTATCCACTTTAGCTAACGGCTTTGCGACGCGGAATCTAAAGAGTCTTTTTTTGCTATGAAGATGCACCTTTAAATAAATATCAATGTTATTTATGAGATGTTATTGCAAACTGTACCAACACTTATGGTTCTCATAAATGCACTTGTAAGGAAGGATACACTGGGGATAGACAGTCATGTCAAGGTACAACAGACTAGTCTAAACAGCTTTTGGCGTTAGTTAATGACTAAGAATCTAAACAGGTTTTCTTCTATATTAAGGTTTTTCTAGTAAATAGTTTATGTTAATAGATGTCGATTAATGTCACGATAGACGCCATACTTGTGATGCTAAGGTGAATTGCTCCAACGCCAATAGTTCGTATCATTGCACATGTAAGGAAGGATACACTGGAGATGGACAGTCATTTCAAGGTAAAAAAGAGTAGCTTACACCATTGAAACGAGCAGCTTTGCTCGTAGACAATTGCCCTTGAAAATTGGCCCACATTTCAGTGACCTGTTTCAACGCACTACTGTCGTAATTCTATGTATTAACTTTTATACATTACTTATGCTTCTAGATATCGATGAATGCAGTAATGGAAGCCATGATTGTGATGTAAATGCGAATTGCAGAATAGCTGTTCATGACAAATAATTGCCTCGTGATCCGAGAAACTGGTCAAGACTGTTTTTTCCTCTATTCAGTTACCCTTTGCAAATCTATTGTGTACACAGATATTGATGAATGCAACGATGGCAGTCATGTTTGTAATGCTAATCCTAACTGTACCAACACCAATGGTTCTCATAATTGCATCTGTAAGGAAGGATACTTTGTAGATGGACAGTCTTGTCAAGGAAGATTGGAACTGCGATACTTTATGTCGGGCATAGCAGCTTTCCATAATAAGTATTGTCTTTATAACTAGGCTCATGATCAAGAGGCAACGCAATCATTTTCACGCCCCGATCTCGTATTTCTATTACGTTGCGGGTTTAATCGTACAGATTAAAAGATATATTTTACAGGTTGCTTAGTATTTTTCCCAGCCTGGAAGGAACAACGATAAATAAGAGCAATGAACAAGATTTATTCTCGTATTACATTAATAAACCATCGAATAAGGGATTTATCATTCCACTATTACTTGGAATATTTTTCTCGAATGTGCGGCCACGCTCGGATAATCTTAAGCCTTCTCCACACTCGCTTTTTAAAATAGATACAAGAAAAATCTGTTTTTACTCCCACACTTTTTTTTACAACTTTTCAGCCTTCAACAACAGCAGGGTCAGTACAGCAGAATAATTTTATTTTCCACAGCAGATTTTTCTATCTTCATGTGCTCGCAGAGTTCCTTTATGCATGATCTATTCTTTTGATTTTTGTCCTATTGCTGAGGTAACTTAAGAAGCGCCCCTACCGACGAATGGAGGAAGCGCCCTCCCCACAAATAAGTGCCCCCTCCACCCATTTTTAGCCGAAATTTCCAATAAGAGCCCAGGCGCTGACTGAAAATCTCAATTATTTCAATAATTGAAGTACACAAAATATCGCCTGAGGAACTAAAAATGTATCTTGCGGAGTTTATTCACTCTTTTCGACATAAAGACAGAGAAGATTATGAACTCTCAGGCTTCACATGCCTTGTTTCAAGTCATGAAAGGTGTTTTGATATTTTTTGCTAGCTGTCAGTGTGTTGCATTATTTCTGTTGAGAAGGGAAATTTATATGGTTTGTATCTTTCATGATCGATTTATGAACCGTTGATTTATTTTTTTAACAATTAATTGTCACTAGAGAGGAAAGGATTTTGGTTCACGCCGTGCGAAATGTTGGACATATATATATTCCTTTATCTGAAAATCTGTCTGATGATCTCGTAAGAGTGAAACTCAGAGTCAGATAAAAGTTATGTCTTATTGATTTGTCCAACTTTTAGATATACCACGCTCTGCGAACGCATAGAGCACTATACTGCAAGGATATACTATAATCAAGATTTATTTATATATCCCTTTTTAAATATACTAAGTTAAAAAAATTCCGGCTCTCTTGCTTTGTCTCCGCACCGGAGGCTTACTACATCGCTGATACTAAAAGTATGGAGGGTACTATATATAACTCGGTTTTAACTTGTTCGTTGCTTGTTACAAATCTTTACCATATCTCACAACTGAGAACGTTCTCTTTTAGGCATTGACGAGTGTAGTGAGGTTTATGGTGTCAAAATGAATTACTGCCATCCCGAAGCCTCTTGCGTTAATACCCAGGGCTCCTACAACTGCTCTTGCAATCCTAGCTATATTGGTAATGGTTCTATACGTGAAGATAAGTGCCAACGTACGTCCTGTTAAATGTTACCAATGAGCGCGCAGAGTTCGTAACACATATATTCGATAAAGGGAAGCATAAATCTGTGTAACCTAATACGCTAAGAAATTACTGTCACGATGAAAATTTCTCTACGCTAATGTAATTTAACTTTGTAGGCGATCCGTGTTAAAAATGCAAAAATCTGAGTGATGCCATCAGAAAGAGCAGTTACTCAACACCGGTACGCGGACTAGCCTTTTTATCAGGGGTGGTTGGGATGGTTAGGGTATTTGTCTTTGACTGGAAAAGTTTTGGAGTAAATCATACATGTTACTCACCAGAGAACTCACGAAACTTGGAATAGTTTTTAATTCTGAAAAAGAACAGTTGAAATTATTTTCTTGTTATTTTTATTATTATTATTGTTTTATTTATCATTATCATTATTATTATTATTTAACTT